GGGAACTAACTCGAGAAGATCCAAGGGGCCCTTGTGGATCAGCACACACCCAGACTTTCGGGATAGTTGGCTTCGAAGCACTTGATCATGAACTTGACAGGATGATAATCCTGCGCTAGGTTAGCTAAAAGCGCCATATGCTTCCAATCGGAATGCGTACCATGTTGGCAAGAGCAAAGTCGGTCATGTCAAAGATAATGCACTATGTTACGTTAGTGGAGGGAAATCTTGCAGGCCCAGTTTCACACTTACAGCGGTTTCAACAGGGGGCGCCAACATCATCCGCGCAGACTCAATCGTATATACTGTGAATCGATCCAAAGCCTCGGTGCTCTGATCGGCGGCGCGGTGCAGGCGGACGCGGATGACGCAAATGGGCCGGCCGTGCTTGTCCACACCATGGAGGAAACTCTTGCCCATGCGCATCTGCATCAAGAAGTCCTCACCCTTCTTCTTCTCCTTGGGGTCGGAACTCTTGGATTGCTTGAGCGCCAGGTGTTCGCCGTTCCTCATGATATCGTCGTCAATGTTCACTTCCAACAACCGCCAGCGGATGGTAGAAATCAGCATGATCAAAGCCTTCTTGACGTCCCACTTGCGCGCGCGCAGGAAGCGCAGCAACAACGCATCCGGGTTGTCCTGCTTCACCATGTTCCAGAAAGTGGTGCGGATCTCCTCCGGTTTCATGTCGACCAGTGCCTTCTGGAAGTCCTTGGTTTGTCCGAACTTGTCGTCGCCGTCGGTGATGCTGAGGGAAGCGAGGCTGGAAGAGACACCATTGGCGGACTTCAGGCTGGCGGAATCATCCGCCTCCTCCTCGTTGCTTTTGCCCCAGAAGGTGAACCTCCGCTTGGATTGTTTCTTCTTGTCCTGTGTTGGGCTAGGAGGCGCCGGGGCATCGCCATTGAGCTCCTCAAGGCCCTCAGTTTTGATTCCGAAAAGTTTGAAGAGGAGGATCCAGAATTCACGGAGCTTGGCCTCCTGATCGGGGGTCAGGTTGCCCACAGTTCCAGGAGCGGCTTCGACAGGCATGGTCTGAAGGGTATCAATGACGCCGAGAAACACAGAGTAATCGTCTTGCGGTGGGGGAGATGGAGGAAGCGATTCTAGCTGGGGATCGTTTCCGGACTTCCGGTATTTATCCTGGAGCCAAGTACCACCGCCGATGAGAAGGAGAGTGAATGTGATCGGCCAGAAGGATGAAGCCTTCCTCGGTTCCTTGAATGACGATAATGGGGAAGTGGAGAAGGGCTGTCGTCGCAGTGGATAAGACAAAGTTAGAGTCCCTGCACTCTGACACAACGGTGGGAGGATCCGAGCCCTAGTGGGATGGATCGATTGAGACGAAGCTGATTGGTATAGCGGGTTATTGGCCGAGGATAGAAGTAGACGGCGACGCACGAGCGAGCCAGCATGCATGTGCAAAGAGCAAATGACGACAGGGCGAAAGGGGGGGAGTGAAGTCGGAGTAGATACAGAGGGCGGAAGAGGGGGAAGTGCTAGTAGTAGTAATAGGAGGGTGGAATTGCCATGCCCTTGCTGGAGCCTGGAGCCGACAGAGCGCCACAGACCTAAAAATTGGGGGTGGCAGATGAAGATCCGTCCCCTGAAAAGTCTGACCGGGGTTTGCGGGGAAAGACTGGGTAACCCACACAGACGACCAGAGGGGAGGCGAGAGGCGATAAAGGATGATGTCGAATTGAAAGTCCCAGATACTCCGGAGTACTCGGTACAGTACATAATTAATTCTCGGAGGGTCACGGGATGCCCACTCGTCGCCTCAGGCTCGCCTACCCAAAAAGCGGGGGATCAACAAAGCCGGCGTCAACAACAGAACTCGCAATCCTTACTTACTTTGTCCACCTTCGCGTGTCCCCAGTTTGTCTCGGTTTCTTGTTTCCCTTTCCCTCTCTGTTGGTTTCCTCTTCCTCTTCCTCCTCCTCCTCTCTTCACTTCCTCGGGATTCCCTTCCCACCATCATGGATCCTGTCTCACTCCCCCGGTCGTCATCGCGTCCACGGCCGTCATCCCGGCCCACGACCCCTCTCAGACCCAGTTCTCGGTCATCCTTCCGGGAGGCACATGGGTACGGGGGAAACATCAGTACTGCCGGTTATACCCAGCCCGCAATCAATGCCCTAGAGCCTCAATTCGCGGAGCTCGCCGATTCCATGGCCGACCTGGAGGCCAATTTCATGCACCTGCAGTTGATGCATGAGAGTCTGACGCGGTTCAGTGAGAGCTTTGCCAGTTTTCTGTATGGGTTGAACATGAATGCTTTTTGTGTGGATTTCCCAGAGGTATTTCATCTGGCCGTCATCCCCACCCGACGCGTACTCATTCCTCGAATAGGCTCCTATTCCCGAGTCTTTCCGCAGAGCAAAGCAAGCAGAGGCACAGAAAGGTTAGCAGAATCTTGGTCGCATGCACGACAGATCACTAGTGGGAACGCTAACGTCTCTCCAGAAGCCGAAGCCGAGCAGCTTCAGTCCACGAACAATGATGGCGACATGACTTTCTTGTACGTTCCCTCCGCTCAAAGTCTGGTACAATTTTGTTCATTTCCGCTAACTTGACTCACCGTAGAACGACCGATACCTCGTTCGTTGAGCACCCTCCGAGCACCGTTTCGTCGAAACCCACTCCCAAGCCGTCTGTCTCTTCGCGCGGGGCGAGGACAACCAGCAGCACGCGCGGTACGACCCGTGGACGTTATACAACAAGAGGAACAAATCGAGCGCGTCCCAGCGCTCTTCCAAGAGGGAGGGGTTTGCGGTGAACGGCACTTGGATACAAATTTGTCGCATGGACGAACTCTGAAGGATTCTATGTCGCGACCTTGGGTATAAGCCGTTGCATCACTGAACGGATGAGTTAACAGTGATGGATACCAGGAATGGTTGGCCTGGTCGATGTGCTCTGAGGCGTGCGACAGACGCGCAGTGATCCTTTTCAGTCTACAATGACTGCATGGGTCAACGAGGAGGTTGTTCAACCAGCTACCCCATCTGACAATGTGTACGACTTGGCAGACGCGGAATGGCATGGATACGGATAGCTACCAACGATCAACCAAACGGCAAGATCCTATTTCAGCTACAGTTTAAGCAGTCAGGTCATCATGGGGATGGTCTTGTGAGAACTTGCGGTCGCGGCTGTACAGTTGGTCGACAAATGGGCCATTGGAACATGAAGAGCCCGTATGAATCATACCCAGCAATAACGATAGAGTAGCTAGGTGGTCAGTGTAAATGTTAGACGTGTGCGATATCGGAATTCCTAGATCTATAACCCAATAGCAAGCACACTGTATAAGCGTATGGCGTCCCCAACGCAGTAAACATGCACTCACAGAAGAGCGATAAACCATTCTCAGTTAGTTCCCCTTTAACAATCTCCCTAGTCCATGGTGTTGAAGTGTTGAAGCCCATACTAGGTACCTCCAGAGCCTAGACTAGTACGGACGGTGCCCGCTCGGATCAAATACCGTCCCGAATTCTTATCGCCGCGGAGCCGCAGGACCACCCTTGCGGGAGAAAGATCTGTCTGGCCACGCCTCTGCCCCCCTCTGTTGGAAGCCCCCCACGCAGGACGGGCTCGATAGAATCAGACCGTTGACATCTCGAGATCCCTCGCAAGTACCAGAGGCACTTATTTCAAGGTACCGTCCCGTTGGCGTTGAGGGGGTCACCGCCCGTCACTGACACCACGCAGAGAGTGTTCGGGACCGGTCCGGTTGTGGGAACACCAAGAGCACCGCGGAGGTCGCTGGAGCACCCGGACTACTTCTATGCATACTGCCGAAGACAGACACTTAGAACCTACTCGATCGGCTGCATCCGTCACAGCTGGTCATTCCGTTCATTGCCAATTGAGAGGCTGGCCTCCAACCCACACAATGCTGTATTGATCCATTCCGGGAGTCCATGACAGTGTTCCGACCAGTGGATATCTGAACTTGCTACCTACTTCCACCATCGATTCTCCTCTGACGTGCTTCTCTCTGCTGGCACCTTCTTCTTCGCTATTTCGGTGTTACTTTCACATCAGCAACATGGCCAGCGTAGCGTCAGTGTCGCTTCTTTCCGAAGCCGAGTTTGGTTGTGGTACGTGATCATCATGACATCTTCACCATTTTCAGATTCTTTGGTGCTGATAGTTTGAAAGAACATCTCGCTGCTCAGTTGCAGAATCATGGCAGTGCAGCGGATCAGTTCAAGTCTGCCTTCATCAAGACGCACAATTCTCTGGCCCCGAATCCTCGATCCGCGGAGTCTCTGTCCAAACAGAACGCGGGGTTTCGCATTGCGAACATCCTCAAGCCTAAATATGCTTGCCTGACATGTTCCGAGTCATTTCTGAGTAGCGGTCGCAAAGCCCATACAGAGAAGTCTGGTCACCAATTCTGTAAGTTCGTTTCGCTCATAGCAGGTCAGCCTCGCTCTAACTTACCCAGTTATGGAGTCAAGAAGTCGGACACTCTTCTGCCAGGGCTGTGGGGACTTCGTTTACGACCACGGTTTGGAACGATTGCGCTCGTCGACATCAGAAAGCGCGTTGAAACGTCTGATACCACCACATCTCCTGCAAAAGAACAAGCAAGCTGACCTCTATAGTTGCCAAAAAACGTCGATTCAGCGAAAGCTCGCACGACGACGTGTACATTCGGAGCAATGCCAACAGACGTCCGTGTGCAAAGCAAGGCGTTCGTGGATTGTTTAATCTCGGACAGACCTGCTACCTGAATGTCATTCTTCAAACGCTTCTCCACGACCCACTTCTCAACACATATTTCCTGGGAAATGGCCATCAACAGCACGATTGCACGGTGCAAGATTGCATAGGCTGCGCAGTGTCGGAAGCCTTCGCAGACTTTAACAGTAGCGACAAGGCGGAAGGCTTTGCTGCTCTGAGTCTTCTTCTGGCGTCGTGGCGTGCGAGCCCGGTAAGTGACCATCATCCAGACGATATGTGCGCATTGCGACTAATTCAGTTCAGACACTGGCGGGATATCAGCAACAAGACGCCCACGAATACTACCAGTTTCTTGTTGACAAGCTCCATGCGAGCACCGATGAACACGAGGAAAGCCATGACAAGAGCTGTCCTTGCTTCTTCCACAAGACATTCTATGGCAAGCTGCGGAGCAGCGTTACATGCGACAAATGCGGCAATGTCACCCGTACCGATGACCCCATGATCGACCTGAGTCTGGATGTGCAGGTGCAGGCGAAGAAGCGCGCGATGGGCAGCGGTGGCCCTTCAGCACCGCCCACCTTGAGCGGGTGCCTTGACAGCTTCACATCTTCAGAAAGGCTCATGGCAGGCGTCTACAACTGCAGCGGATGTGGCGGGACACCGCAGAAAGCTACCAAGCAGCTGCGAATCAAGAAATTGCCGGCAATTCTCTGTATGCAGTTAAAAGTAAGTCTTTTGAGCCTGGGTTGGGGGAGCCCGTGCTGATACCAGTTAGCGCTACGAACATACATTCTCGGTCTCGGAGAAGTTAGAAGGCAGAATTGACTTCCCCTTGTCGATCAACATGCTTCCATACACGACGAACCCCCACTCCAACGTCGACAAATCGCGGTACATATACGACCTGTCGTCGGCCGTGGTACATAAGGGGAAGCTGGACGCCGGTCATTATTATGTCTACTGCCGCCAGGGTGACCAGGTTTGTTTCTGAAATCGAGATTCCCAGACGACCAGCCCCGACTAACACACGCTAGTGGATGCTTTTCAATGATGACCAAGTCACCGCCGTGACAGAGGCCGAAGTGCTCAACGCAGACGCCTATCTGCTGTTTTACAATCTTCGGTCCTTAGCCGGCGCTCCGAGGTAGTCGGTGCACTGTAAGGAGTGATGAGTTATGGGGTATCTATGCTTGTAATTTCTTTATCGCATATCCATCAGCGACCAGGAGTCTCGCTTTGTTTGTCGATTGGGGCTTGGAGTCAAGTGAATGGCATCTGTGTGTAGGAGCGGATAGGTTGCCACATGTCTGTTGGTCTTAGAAATTCATCAGTTTGGCTTCGGTTTGATTTAGCAAACATGCTTGAGTAGCAGATAGCCAGTCGGGACTTGAAAAGAATGGCCCATGGGGCTTTCAACTACGCCTTACGGGGTCCTGAGGCGAAGGCGACCATCACAGAACTGGTCCAAATGGCATAGCGCAGTCGCAGTCGCAATCCACCAAGCCCAGACTATACGAATGCCTTCGCACATCCCGAACGGCAGCTCCACCCCACAGCCCACGGAAAGAAAGTCTTTTAAGTTGTCCTCATTTCAATTCAGGTCTGAATTGGAAGAAAATAAAGAAAAAGGTTTCGACGTGACACCTTTCGAGTATTGTCAACACCGGCATCCGAGCATCAAGTTCCTCATCCTCTTCAGTTTTTCCCCTTTTTCCATAATCCTCCAACACCTTTTATTGAACCCCCGGTGCGGGAAACACAAGCACATCAATCATCGGGTTTTCCTCCAAGGGGCGTTTGGTACCGAGCGCCGAGCACGTAACGAATCATCGTGAACAGGAAATGGAATCGAAGGGATTAATTTAGCGGTACTGGAGGCGAGATGGCATGGTCAGTAATCTTGTCCGGTTTGCGTGCGAGCGCCCATGGCCTCCCGGTAGTGCGGTTCACTGTCGTGCAGGGTGTGCGACATCGTCGCAGGTTGGGCCGGGCGGTCATGAGCAACTCGCAGTCGTGCGTGCAATCACCCACCTTGTAGAAACCAATGTCCTGAGACTTCTCACGGAAGCACTGACGGCAGATGTTCATCTGTAAGACCCTCCATCAGTTATACAGTCCCGGACCAGAAACAATTCGCATTCCAAAGAAACTCGTGGGAGGATATCCATACCCCGTACTTGCGGATCAGACCGGCGCGGTGGGAGCAGACACGGCTGTATCGGACGAACAAGTCAACATCAATCACATTCCACAATCTCCAGTCGAACCGAATACACAATCACGTCGAAGGAGTCGCTTTCATCGGGGGGAGAGAGAATCGCCATACCAGCTACGGGAGCCCTTGCCGAACCTGTTGAGTAGAAAAAGAACCCGTTAGCATATCGAACTTCACGGCATCAAATTCGCCAGGAACGGGGGGAGTCGTACTTGCGAGGACGGCTGTACCACACAGACTCGTGAGTCATCTTGAATGTATCTGAGGCGAGGAAAACCTGGGATGTTGACGGTGTATGGGCAGGCGGGTTGTCGTCGTCGTCGTCGTCGCGGGAGGTTGAACTGGCGAGCGAACGAAATGGTTTAGGGTTGCAAAATCGCGTTGTGTGCTTTCCTGAGCGAAGCTAAACCCTTTTTGGTGGGTTGGGGCTGGTTTGCCGCCGGTCAGGTGATCGTCTCCGGTCTGGAGATCTCGGGGGCTTGTTTCGCCGGCTCCGATCTATATCGCTTTCCTACTTCCTCCTATCCTACTTCCTAGGTATCCTCCTGCTATATAAGACACTCCTGTTTAGTCATGTTTTCTACGTATGAATACAATTCAAGACCAGCGTACCTCCAGAACGCCTCCCTACAGCCTGTTTTTTTCTCCAATTTCTTTCCTAAGCACAAGCCGCCGAGCGAAGCGAGGGAATACGGCTTGTTTTTGCCTAGGGAGTCAAGGTTTTTCATCTGCATCGCATTGTTTGTACTCTTGGATGATAGTGCATGCGCTGGAGCTCACTGACATCTGCAGCGCAGCAGAAATGGTAGTACGGGTTCCCAAGTTGCCAATTTGGGCGCCATACATGGCAAAGGAATGTGCGGCATACCAAAACAGGAAAGCACATATACCACTCTTACAATCGCAGATAACAGGATCTGACGAATGGCAAGAAAGAAAGGCAGAGATACATGGTACCTCGTGGTCCTGCTCGAGTATAAAGTCTTCAGTGATGTCCCTCCACACACTCTCTTGAGCACTCTTCTTCAACCTATTATGTCAACCAACTCTTCACTGAAGGAAATCCCGTGCCCGTATTTCTATCATGAGCATCTGCACCGGTAGCAGTGTATCCCGTAAGGACTTTGAGGATTTGATTAATGGATTCATCAAAAGCATATCCTATCGACGTCCAGAAGTCCATGGCAGTGTAATTGCTCTGAAAGATGCCACTGAGGCTGGACTTCTTGCTACTGGTGTGTCATCTGACCTAATAGCTCGCATACAAATGGTTGTCAAGACTGGCGTTGCCATCAGCTCTTGTGCATACTCCCATACTTCAAGGGAGGTGCAGGAGGCGATCGCAGAATACACAGTACTTCTTACCGCTGTGGACGATCTTGCTGTCAATATGTCCGAAGACCTAAGGACTTTCGCCAGCAAGATTCTCCTGGGGCAACCGCTTGAACACGAACTATTGTGCTCAATGAAAATCTGGATGGAGTCGAAACGCTTGCTATTCGGGGAATTTGCAGGAGATATGCTTGTGAAAAACACCCTCGATTTCATGTCGATAAACAACTTTGAGGCAAATATTGAGAAAACCGACATACTACGGGGCAGCTCCTGTGCCCCGGAGACAGCTGAATACCTCCGAGGCAAATCAGGGGCCAGCGAAAACTACGCCCTCTTTATCTTTCCCGAAGACCAATTCCCCGAAGACCGATATCTGGAAAGCTACTTTCCCGCAATTCCCTATTTTATTCAATATGCAAGTCTGGTGAATGATGTGATCTCATTTTACAAGGAAGAACAGCAACATGAGCGCAACAACTTCATCCATATTTATGCCCGAAGCCATTCGATTTCACCACTTGAAGCTCTCATGGAAACTCGCAGAAGAGCAGTGGAAGCGTATCACCACGCTGCTGGTATCCTGTCCGAAGATGGTGATAAGCGGCTTTTGGAAGCTGGGCTGAGCTTCCTGCATGGTTATGTGACGTTTCACTTCTGCACGCCCCGTTATCGGCTTGAAACCTTGGATATACCAGCGGTGAAAGAGGACATGGAGTTTGTCTTGGGTTCAGGAACACCCCAAGCCGACGTTTGTCGTAACTGGTTCGAGGACGGCCCCCAGAATGGGGTCAAGGTCTGATCAGTGAAGAAGTACATCCTATCGTCTTGGAGTTCACGTTTTTTGTTTTTATATTTTCTTGGGAATGAGTGCAACTGGAGGGTATTCTACGAAGTAGATCTGAAGATGTAATGAGATGTGAAGATCTAATGCGGAGGTGAAGCAAGATATGACTATTTCATCGGTCTCATGGCAGGTTTCGTCTCTACATAGCTTAATGGTTCTGTATAGCGTCACGACGCAGCTCCAGTCTAAATCAGAGCTTGGATAGCTGTGCGTTCACAAAGAAGCGACTACACCATGGAAGCATGGTGCTATTCGGCTTCTCCCCGTTAGCTGGAAGCTTCTATAGCGGGTGACCAGTCATATTAGGGGCAGCAACAGGGATCTCTTAAGGCTGACATTACGGAGTGATTGGTAAGAAGCTGGTGATGTCCGGTTGTGATTAATAATGGATGTTGCGTCTGCGATCAACATCAGCTGGACAGTCGAGTCTAGGAAAGAAACAACTGGTTTCCTTTAGGTCTAAGTGATGAACGTAAGGAAACGAGACAAGTTAATGGTATACCACTAGTTACTCCGGAGTATGAAGAGGCCAGTCTACGGTAGGCTCAGCAACAACAATATGTACAATAGTTGATCAGCGTAACAATTACTCCGGAGTAAACTCCGCAGGATTGTTCCTTCGAACTCCGTCGTCCTAGGTATTTTCTTCCGCCCCCGATAGACACGTACCTAGGTACTCCGTAAAGTAATCAGTCATTCGCTTCGATTCCATCGGCGGGATTACCCGCCCAGGCGACCTGGAAATAAATAGACATTTTCCATAATGATCAGGGTCGAGTAGACCGCCAATCGAAGAGCCGTGCAATTGGCCGCAGATTATTGGCGAGGTCGGAGATTAGCCTTGTCCCTGAACTGCCATCGCGTGCCGGACTTCCGATGCAAATGTTACTACGACGGGTAACTTTTGGTTCTTTTCCTGTTCTTGGCATGGTGACCACTCCTAAGGGTGGGGATCTTCGGCGCGGCTGGTCTAGTTTCCTAGTGTCGGTGCACGATCGCTGGGATTTATGTACATTATTGGTGCTGCATTGTTGCAAGTAGGTACGGAGTAGGTAGATCTCGTTTAATAATACGGAGTATGTCTCTTTGTTCTCGGATCAACCAAGCGTGGTAGCTAACTACCTAACGTCAAGCCTTGATAGATCTGTAAAGAGTTGGATGAGATCCTACGGTCCCCGACGGTTCCGAGAACATCCAGGTACGTACTCCGGTCTACGGAGTATGTTACGGCTCAGAAGGAACAGGCAACATTGGCGAAGGGAAAACCGGATTAAACATATGAAGTAGTCGGAGGATTGACGGCCTAACTGCGATTTCTTGGAGATGAGCTGGATCATGCGCTCCCCAAGTGGATCCTTGAACCGCACGGATATACTCCGTACAGCGCGTTGATGCATCAGACAATCGCCATGTGCTAGATGATATCCGCCTAGCTACTTCGTATGTACAGTAGGCGGACATTTTCAGCGTCATCATCATTAGACAACAATCAAGCGATTTACAATGGTAACCATAAAGACTGGTCGGCGTCATCAGAAAGGAAAAGAAAAAAAGTTTCCGATGAGTCATATATTCGGATGTTCCATTATTCAGCGAACACGGGAAGCGGCTCTACAACGAAGCAAAAGAAGGATTCTGATTTGTTCGTGGGAGGTTGAACGAAGCTGCTAGAATCAGGAAAAATCATGCACAGAAAATGATTTCCACAATGGGGGCGTGTTTCCAGGGACATCAAGTGCGTGGCGATACTCAGGACCCGTCTGGGTTACGGGCTGGGTGTTCATACGGAACGCCGCGGATGCAGGTGATTCCTGGATCCGGGAAGGGCTAGGCAGTCGGCCAAGCCAGGATCATCGGTCAGGTTGTCAGATGAGTCGAAAATAATCATAACACGGATCACAGGGCTGGGGAGCCATTGGCGCGCCCATGTCAGCCCGGCAGTCCAACGTGCAGGCCCGCTCGGTGGGTCGGCCTTCCGAGAATTCGTGCTGGCGGTCCCAGCCCGTACTTTAGTTGATATCGGAGTACTCATAACCTGATATTGAATGTATATGTGCTGATACTATAGGGTTGAGTGGATGTGCGGAGTACTCTGTAGGCATTTTGCCAGCCCCATTGTCCTCCGCAGGAAGCCCCTGGTATCTCCTGTCATGCTGGCATGATGTCACACGAGCGATTACAACTTGTCGGTACACAAAGCTGGACACTTTTGGCGGGGTGATGCACCTCCAAGCAAAACGCAGATGTGCATTATTGTCTGGGTTGGTTCGCTTCTGGAGCACTCGGTGTGACAGCTATCCCGCGCTCGGCGACCAACATCGTCCAATGCTGGCAGGTCCGGAGAGCAGAGCGGGAGATCAACTATCAGACCATAAACTCACTAGGTGAACATCATCCGTGAATGGCCAATAGTATGAACCAGCATCCCTAGCGAGGGAGAAAGTTTCCCCTGCTATCCCGAGAACAAGAGAGGTCGCGAGGGAGACTAGTTGACTGATCTACATGCAGAAAGAGGGGTACTCCGTATGTCTTCTTCTCCTCCCATCTCGTCTAGGACTCGCTTCGGCAACGACTGCATTAGCGATGTTCGCGACCGTCAGACGTGAGAAGCGGTGTGTTGACGACCAACATGAAGTTGACTGGCAAGTCGGGTCTATACCCGGGCTGGTTTCCTCATGATACATACTAGCTGGGTTCTAGGGATATTACCCCATACATCAGACGATGTACAGACTACAGAGCGTCCCCAGAGAATTAGTAGTCACTTTCCCCACCAAGTTCGATACCTAGGTAGGCAAGGAGGAATAGATCATGTCACACCCTTCAATGCAAGATAACCAGCTCACCCGACGTATGGCGTGACAGAGCTAATCAAAACCCCGGGGTTCGTGTTTATCCAAGCCAATAGCCAGCAGTCTTATGGCATATCGTATCCCTACCGTATCCCAGATGGGCTGATATTAGAGGTAAGATCGATCCTTACTCAGACAGCATCGGACCCGAACGTCATCCCCGAACTAGTATGGCTTCCTACGGATTACAGAGTATTTAAGGTTCCTTTTAATTTAACAAGACGCTCGGCGAGAAGAGCGCAAGCCTGTCAGATATAGAGATGACTGGGATGACCGTGTATGTACCTTTAATGAACTGAGCGCTGTTTAGGTAGAAGATACTGCCGTTGGATATTCATCCTAATTAATCGCAAACAAATATCCTGGTCATCTCCCCAGACGAATACAATAATGCGGTGTCGTACAGATAGACAGCCGAGCCATCGTGCCTAACTGGTAACTAGCGCTGCTCCCTAGGATCCACACTAGTCACGCAGAACCTTGGGATGAGGTCATCGCCCACGGCACAGCGAACCCGCCCGCTGTGACTCTGGCAGGGAAGTAACTTTCCGGTGGCTCCGAACATCCGAGTGAGGTCGCCAAGCCTGTCTGTGTTTCCTTACTTGATTGATTTACTCCCTGCGATGCGAGGATTGGTGAGGTGCGCTTTATATTGTGGTCTCAATATCTACAAATCTACAGATTACATTCCATCTGAATTAGAGTCGGGTGGATGGCTTAGGTGGGAATGAAAGAAGAGATGCCTAATAAGGTACCTACCTCGTAGTTGCGGAATCCCAAAAATGGAGACGAAAAGCCAATGAGGGTCCAGACTGAACCACGGCCGGTCTTTTTTTTTTTTTTTTTTTTTTTTTTCTCCGAAATATCATGGAGTATTCTTCGACCCAAGTCATCATGACGAGGTCTCTGGCATGATGTTAAGAATCGGTTCCTGACTCTTGTCGTCACAAATCAAGATCATGACCTGATCAACTCGACCCGACCGTCTGGAAGAGTCGTGACGATTCAAGTTACCATTCAGAGTTGAATCCAAAGAGATCGTCTCGTCCAGTCGACAGACAAACAACGAACAGCCTAGCGTGGGCGTGTCCGGAAGTGGAGCTATCGGCAGCCGGAGGAAGAGCTCTAGAGGCAGCTCCGCCCTTTGTTTCCACGGCCCTCTCGGCCTTGTTGGATCCTATCCCCGCCTGCTCCGAGAAAGGTGCCCGCAAGCTCCAGCGCGCAGGCATCGAAGAAATCATTTATTAAAAAGACGGGCGCGACCCTTCAACCCGTCATTTCCCTCCCTTACATTATCTCCCTCCTACTTTGGTCCCTGTTGGCTGACTGGCGTCTCCCATTCCTGACCCTCTTCTTCCATTGTATACTTCAGCCCTACCAACTCACTTAGCGCCTCTCTTCCTCTCTTCCTCTCTCACACCTCTACTCACCCCTGGGCCCTATCACCAAGACCAAGTCCCGTCCGGTCGACAAACCCTAGTATTCTTAGTCGCGTCCGATATCCGCTCTCTCTTCAAAACCATAATAGTCTTTACCGCGGTCAGAGCTCCAGTGTGGCGGCCTGTTAGCCTGCTAGCTCTTCGCCCTCTACCGAATTCGCGGGTAGTTTCGTCGTCGCTTCCACCCGCGGCTTAATTTCTAATACACATTATCTACCACGGTTTGCCCATGTGGTACAAAGCTACGCGCGCCGCCTTCGCGGCAGCTCTCCTGCTGGCGTCCATCGCCAGCGCGCTTCCTCATGGAGACGAAGCCATGGACATGGGGGGAATGGATATGGGCGACATGGATATGCACGCCTCCCACCCGGAGCACGAGTCGCATGCAGACACCAGTGATGATTCGCCCATGAGCTATTTTGCTTATGGGAAACATTCTAGCACCATCGTGGCCCATATCGCCTTGATGGTTCTCGCTTGGTGCTTCGTCCTTCCCATTGGTAAGCACTCGTAGCCTCCTTTGGCTTGTGCCTCGCGCATCGTGAAATTAACATTGTCTTTTAGCTGTCATGTTCAGCGTGGCGCGATCGCGTTATGCGCTGCCGTCGCAATTCCTGTTCCTCCTGGTCAATGCGTTTGGCTTGCTCGTCGGAATCATCTACAACAGCCAGACTCCGGATCTGTACGAGAACAACGCTCACCACAAGATCGGATGGATCGCTACCTGGGTCATCAGCGCGCAGGTGATCATGGCCTTGATCTTTGCCTATGCCGGCCGAGGCGAATCGGACTCGTCCTCGTACGAACGCGCCGCTTTTCTTCCCGTGTCGACCGACGATGGGGCTGAAAGCCCGACTTACCCCTCTGGTATCCGTCACGAGTACCGTTGGTCCCGCGACAGTGGCCAGGGCACGGAGAGAAGCACGGCCTCTCTCCACAGCCGCCCCGGATCCCCATCGTGCTCCTCCCCCTCCGAAGAATTCGAAAGCTTTCACAAGCCAGAAGATGAGATTCTGGAGAAGCCCGTCGAGCGTCGAGGCTGGCTGCAGAGCACCTTTATCGACCGGTTCCTGGCCAGCCGCGTCCCTCGGATGGTCTCCAGCCGTGTCCTCCGCGTGCTCCATGTCATCTACATCATTATCGACCGAATCATCCTGCCATTTGGTTTCATTTCTATCGCCACCGGTGCTGTGACATATGGCGGAATCATGGTAAGTTTCCACCCGTTATAGCTCGTAACATCATTGGCTAATGTAACATCTAAACAGAGAGGTAGCGAGGTGTTCAATGGTCTTGCGCACTTCATCAAGGGTGGCATCTTCTTTTGGTATGGTCTTTTGACCCTGGGTCGGTTCCTCGGCTGCTGGGCCGATTTTGGATGGGCGTGGAACATCAAACCATCGAGCGCCATTGTCGGCAAGTGGAAGTCCAAGATTCCGACCGGAGAATTCACCGAATCGTTTGTGATTTTCCTGTACGGTGCAAGCAACGTCTTCCTAGAGCATCTGGCTGGTTGGGGTGGTGCCTGGTCGGCGACGGATTTGGAGCATGTGTCGATCTCGATCATGTTCTTTGGCGGTGGTCTCTGCGGTATGCTGGTGGAATCGAAACGGGTGAAGAGCTGGTTGAACAGCACGATCCTGCGGACCCCCTCCCATCTCGGAACGCATGCCTCATCCGATGTCGCTTGGCAGCTCCCTGACACCCAGGGGGTGTCCCTCAACCCGATGCCCGCGCTGATCATTATGCTCCTGGGTAGTATGATGGGCTCGCACCACCAAGACAGCATGGTATCTACGATGATCCACAAGCAGTGGGGCAACATGTTTGTCGGATTCGCGTTGGCCCGAGGCGCGACCTATGTTCTGCTCTATATCAAGCCACCGACCTCGTATCTGCCGTCTCGGCCCCCCACCGAGATCATTGCGGCGTTTTGTCTGATCTCCGGTGGCTTGGTCTTCATGCTGAGCGTAAGTTGGACTGAGGCCCTAAATTGACGGGGTGTGTTGCTAACAGATTCTGGTTCTAGACTCGTAACGTGGTCCAGACGATCGAGTACTACGACCTCGACGCCATGTTCACCTTCACCGTCAGCATGGGATTTACCGCTTTCATCATGGCATTGGAAATTCTTGCCGTTGCCATCAAGGCCTGGGCTGTCAAGAAGGAATCTCGGCCTCAGCTGGCTCCTTACCAATTTCCGGCCTAAACTAGGGTTGCGGAGATGGTCCCATCCTTCCTGGAGAGCCGGTCCCGAATGCTATTATCCGGCTAATGAGGACTCCTGAAGGAAACCCAAAAGCCTTGCAAGGGCATCCTCGATGCCCTCTCCCTTTCTTTCTTGCTCATTACCGTTTTATACCCCTAAACTATTTGCTTTTTTTTTCGGCTGGAATGTGTCTATGTTTAGCTCAGATGAGCAACGGCGCACACTTCGCATTTGTTCTATGTTTATTGAGTGATGCGCCTTCACGTGATAATGAATGATATCCCCGGTTACATGGCTTAATGAGGAGGACTGGAATGATGGGTTGGTGGATATCTGATGTTTTGCATACTGATGTGGCTGGGATGGTGTGTCCATTGGTGATCATGTAACTACCAAGGTAGATCGGATGACTTGGATACGAATATGCCCTAGCATTAACATAATGTCATGACTAGTTACTGAATATTGCTTTGTTATTTTCTTCTGAAGTACATACAATCGGAAGTAAGCACAAACTCCGACGGAAGGTGATGCCGAAAAAGCGGAGAACTGGTCGGCAGATGAAGATGATGTGAGGTCGGAACGCCTACCACAACCACATGCATGAAACTAGACCGTCTCCTTCTTCGGCGTTGAAACACGGCCCATTTCAACCTGTGCGGCCGTTTCGGCCACGATACGAGGACTCTGGAAACGATATCCGTACCTTCTCCCTGCGTGGGAATGAAAGCTTAGTGGGAATTAGTCAGGGTGGGACCAGTGGGGAGGCCCGAGGAAGAACGGCATGTCGGATGCTGCACCGCGCTGGGTGATTTAAAGAGGGGCAACCATCCCCGCCGTGTCTGCAGCACTTTTACTGCTTTTACTACCTACATCTCCTGTGAAATCTCCCCTCCACTCTCTCTCTTACCTCAATTCTCATTATATAAAAATGGCTTCCAACCCCCCTGGAGCTTGCTGTGCCTCCGGCTTCAAGCACGAAGGCAACCCCGTCGGCGAGCTGAAGAACGTGGGTGGTGGTAAGGATAACCTTCCAGCGAGCCTGCATTCTCAAGCGTAAAGACTCATTGGCGCTAACAATCATCCTGGTTGATCAGTCAACACCTACGTCGTCTACCCCAAGGACAACAAGACCCCCGAAAAGGCCGTCATCATCCTGAGCGACATCTTCGGCGTGTACGTCAACGCTCAGCTGCTCGCCGATGAGTTCGCCGCCAATGGCTACCTCTGTGTTCTCCCCGACCTCTTCCGCGGCGACGCCATCAGCATTGCCGACATGGAGTCCGGAAAGGCCGATCTGCCCAACTGGCTCCCCAAGCACCAGACGGCCCAGGTCGACCCCATCGTCGAGTCCACCATCAAGTATGTTCGTGAGGAACTGGGTGCCAAGCGCGTCGCTGGTGTCGGCTACTGCTTCGGCGGCAAAGTGAGTCGCGGCCTTGGATTGCGTCACAGCGCGACTTGTTCCTAACCAGTAATCTCCAATATAGTACACCTGTCGCTTCCTGAAGCAGGGAAAGCTTGACGTTGGTTACACCGCCCACCCCTCCTTTGTTACCAAGGAGGAGCTCGGTGCCATCGCCGGACCCCTGTCCATCGCCGCCTCTGGTAAGTCGACCCGTTGCTGGTGCCGGACTCGAGTACACAACTAATCATCCCGTGTCCCTGCAGAGGTCGACCAGATCTTCACCACTCAGCTCCGTCATGAGTCCGAGGATATCCTGATCAAGACCGGCCAGCCCTGGCAGATCAACCTCTTCAGCGGTGTCACCCACGGCTTCGCTGTCCGCGGCGACGTGAGCAACAAGCACCACAAGTTCTGCAAGGAGCAGGCTTTCTGCCAGGCCGTTGTGTGGTTCAACCAGTACCTGTAAATGTATCCAATAGAATAGTTAGCATTTGGTCACGATTGAACACGAAGAAATGACATGCCTTCTGGTGTACCTGAGTCTATGTTTCCGCATTCGTCAGAAACCGTAAATGATGCATGATAAGGCTTATCGCACGTGACGCCGTGATCTGCGTGTTGGCCTCAGGCCTGCCGGGGAGAACAGGTCAGCATCCAGAACACCCCGAGCGACGCCCGATTGACTCTGCCATCGCGTCTCATATTCCACGGGGTCCAGCGGCAGACCGTGGCTGTTCAACTCTGTCTTTGTTTCCTCGGCCCCTACGTTGAGTTTTGGTATATTCCTCGGGTTAGTTTACTTGTCGCGTGTCCTTTCCAGCGTTTGCATTTGTCGGCGTCATTGTATCCCTGCGATTCGAAGCCGTGCTGCTTGCCGCTCCCGTCGTCTTCTTTCTCTCTACTCGCGGATTCATCGTCTTACCTATTGTCGCTTGCAGAACTATCTAGCGCCATCCGTCTCCGCTGCGTCGCCCGCCACTCGTCCACAGCCATCCCGACTCGGTGTTTCATTGCCTCCTACGCTTCGCAACGCATAGATCCATCATCGACCGATCCGTCTTCTTTAGTGCAAGTTCACAATAGAGTGCGTTTTTGTTTGCGAGTCAACATGGCTACTCCGGCTGCATTACCGCCATTGCCCTTTAACCCGTCGCGAGTCCGGTCCTACGTGCTCCGTTTACCGCTGTTCACCCGCCTGGTGCTTTTGGCCATTCTTGTGTTCTGGATTCTCGAATTACAGACGGTGTGGAGCGTAGTGCAATGGGGGTCCCTCGCCCCGGACGAGATCGGATTCGGAAGCAGTATGTTGCACGGCGATTCTAACTGAACTGGCCCTAACGATGGACAGTGTATCGGCTCAACACCTACCCCTTCATCCATGCCGGCTTCTTCCACGCGTTCATTAATACGTTGGCTCTTACCCCGTTACTGGAGCGATTCGAGGCCGAGCATGGCACGCTGACCGCTGTCGCGTTGTTTATCGGACGTGAGTTGGTACAGCTTGATAGTGAGAGACGCACACTAATCGGTTGTCCTGTATTAGCCCTTTCGACTTTTCCAGCAGGTCTTTACCTTCTGGTGGAGAAGGTACTTCTACATAGAAACACCGCCGTTGTGGGCGCAAGGTGAGTTGTGTCTCTTGCTTGTTGGGACCGTCGCTTACAGTTCGGTAGCGTTTGGATCTTTCTTCTTCTTGGCTCCGAGTCAATTCGCACGTTCAAATCCAATCCGTACTTCAGGTATGTCTGGTGTGCTGTCAATATGCTGCATGGTACTAACAGCCCCGTTTAGCATCGGCAATTACAAGATTCCGACCTGGACGTCGCCGTTGGTTGCCTGCATTTTCGTGTCCATCCTCATGTCGAATACGAGTTTCCTTGGTCATCTATGTGCCATTCTTGTCGGATATTTGCGTAAGTGTTGTCGAATCCCCTATGGCTACCGCTTACTGATCCCTCGCAGTCGGCCTTGGGTATCTGAAGCTGTTCGTTCCGCCGGAGAAGATTCTCCGCTGGATAGAGGGCAAGTTGAATCTGCTTGGACGGCTGCCCCATTATGTGTCGGTCGACCAGAAGACGTATGGCCGCTATGGAGTCCTGCCAACGACCAGCAACAGTCCCCCGGGCGAAAGACCGACTCCGATGAGCTACCTGGGGTCGTCGCAGCGTCTGGGACCTTGATCCCACTGACTAACATTTGACTTACGTTCCATGTGTATAATTAATTATTCGGCTTTATTTGATGTATTTGGCATGGGAGTCTGGGGAAGAAAAGAATATCTGTCATAAGCATTCGTTGTGCAGATGGTCCGTAGCGGCTGACGTAAATTGTTCTGCTCCACCGATCGAGATGCGGCGTCGCTCACCTCTCTTCCGACACCACGCAGCAGCATGGGAAGCAATTCCCGAATGTGTCTGATACAATGGCCTTGAAATGTGAGTTTATCTGCTCCTATGCGTTTCTCTCTTCTGTTTGACCTCAATCACTTCCGAACGCTGTCCCTGCGAGTAACTGGCCTTACCCCGGACTGTCGCAAAGGACAGCTCAGTCCCATGCATGCTAACCAGCGACGATAAACAGCCACAATCCGCAAATTGCGGAATAACCCCCACGTTCTCTTCGTGCGCCTGCCGTATATTCTCTCCTTACTTTGCATTGTCGCCGGCGTCGTCTGGCTGCTTCTCCTTCCCCTCGACGAGTATTCCCGCCGCACCTACATCTCCGAGAACGCCCTCCTCCCCGGTCAAGTCCACGCGTACTTCTCGGGCAGCGAACAGCATATTTTCCGCGGATACAAGAAGGAGCTCGAAGGCCTGTTGCCTGGCGAGGGACAGGAGGGCGATGCGGACCGGAAAGATGCCCAGTTCACGCCAGCGTAGGTTGAGCCGTGCAGATCGGTCCCATAACATGCATACTAACACCGCGGAACAGCGTATCGGATAAAGTCCAATCGATCCTGAGGGCAGCCGGGCTGAAGGTCGCGACGCAGAACTACGAATACGTCTCCTCCGGTGTCACGCATCAGGGGCAGAACACGTACGGGATCATCCGGGCGCCCAGGGGCGATGCGACAGAGGCGATTGTGCTGGTTGCGGCGTGGAGGACGGCCGACGACGAACTGAACCTGAACGGGGTCACACTCGCGCTGACGCTGGCGCGCTACTTCAAACGTGCGTTTTGCGGGTGTGTAATGTGCTAAATGAAGGCTGACTGACTGGTCACAGGGTGGTCGCTCTGGTCGAAGGACATCATCTTCCTCTTCCCGCCGGACAGCAAGCTGGGCACGCAGGCGTGGATCGACGCGTACCACGACATGCAGCCGGCGTCGGTGCAGCCGCTACCGCTGAAAAGCGGCGCGCTGCAGGGCGGGCTGGCGATGGAGTACCCGTTCGACCACCGGTTCGACTCGCTGCACATCGTCTACGACGGGGTCAACGGGCAGCTGCCGAACCTCGACCTGTTCAACACGGCGGTATCGATCGCCAGCGGCCAGATGGGCATCGGCGCCAGTCTGCAGGAGATGTGGGACCACGACGACAGCTACGAGATGCGCCTGCAGACCATCCTGCGCGGCATGGTCAAGCAGGGCTTTGGCTATGCCACCGGCGCCCACAGCAGCTTCATGCCGTACCACATCGACGCCATCACCCTCCAGACCAAGGGCGAGGGCTGGCAGGACGAAATGGCCCTCGGCCGCACCATCGAAGGCCTCTGTCGCAGCCTGAACAACCTCCTCGAACACCTGCACCAGAGCTTCTTCTTCTACCTGCTCATGCAGGCCAACCGCTTCGTCAGCATCGGCACCTACCTCCCCAGTGCCATGTTGATCGCCGGCAACTTCACCATTATGGCTATCGCGTTGTGGATGCGCACGGGGTATTACCTGGGCTCAAAGCCGGGGGCTCCCGGCGCCGAGCCGTCTTCGAAGGGCGAGAAGCCAGACTCGCCGAAGCGAGAGACCACCGCAGTCGCCCCGTCCGAGTCGAATGGTATCATGGAGCGTCAGCTGGCGCTCCCGCTCACCCTGGTCGTGGGCCTGCATCTCCTCGGACTCGTTCCGCTCTACATCTTCAACAATCTCTCCCACCAGGTCAGCACCACCCCAATCACCACCGGTATCTCAATCTATACTAACGCATCGCCAGTACTACGAACCCGCCACATACATCTGCCTCGCGGCGGACCTCGTCCTCCCTCTCCTCCTCGCAGGGGTGCTCTCATTCTCGGGCTTCGCGACCCCCAAACCGCAACAGTACCTGCTCATCAAGTCCTTCTCGCTCCTCCTCCTCGGCCTGTTTCTCTCCACGCTCGCGACGCTGAACTTCTCCCTCTCGTTCATGATCGGTCTGCTCTGCGCCCCGCTCACGTTCGTCTCGCGGCTCGGCCCGCAGACAGGCGCCCTCCGTTACGTCGGGTCTGCGCTCGGGCTGGTCCTGCTGAACCTGCTGTCGCCGCCTGTCGTGCTCCTCGGCGTGTGTGCGTACATGGGCGTGTCCGTGGAGTATGTCTTGACGCAGGCGGCCTTTGGATGGAATGTGTGGGGGATGTGGACGCAGGTGGTGGTGTGGTGTGTATGGTGGCCTGCGTGGTTGTCGGGGTGTGCGCTTCTGGGGTTTTCTCTGTTCTAGACACGGATGGGTGTTTTGAACACGCCGTGGAACGATGCATGTTATGCATGGGTGATTTACATTCTTAATACGAATATACCAGACCAGACCATCGTAGCCCTCAATTATAATTCTAGTACTGAGTCGTACATACATGCAATCATATCTTTGCAAAGCCCAGCATAGAAACGGCAGGACAAGGGACTGTCGTGTCAACTATGCAGCCCACACATCCTTGCCAACACCCTCGATCCAGTGACCCCAGCTGGTTCACCCCGGCATCCCAATCCTTCAGGCGATTCCGCATGCCCTCGATCTGGTTCATATCGAGCACCTTGGGCTGGACCCAGTTGATCTGAGCGACCTGCGCGACCTGGTCGATGGCGCCCTTCAGCAAGCCCAGCGAGAGGGCCTTCATGATGAGGTGCTCGATCTCGTCGGTCTTGACCTTTGTTTCGGCGGAGATGGCGGCGAAGGTGAGGTTGCGGTCGTGCGGGGGGCGGCGGAAGACCATCTCGGTGAGGGCGGAGAGCGAGATCTTCTGGTAGAGGAAGAGGCGGTGCTGCTCAAGCAGGTCGTTCTTGGCGATGTTGCCGGCCAGCACGTCGTAGGCGGTCAGGTCGCCGCGGTTGAAGGCGAAGAGGAGGTCGCGCAGCCAGTTGTGCTGCGTCTCCGTGAGCGAGTCCAGGATCGGGTGCAGGAGAAGCTCGCCGAAGTTGTAGATCGAGTCGGAGACGAGCGCCGCCACGCTGAGGTTGTAGGCGCGCGACACACGCTCGGCTTCGCTGAGGTCCTCGAGGTTGATGCACGCAAGGTAGAGGAGGGCGTTTTTGTAGAAGCTGGCGAATTCTTGCTTGGCCTGTGGGGGTTAGATGGTTGTACTGTCCAGGGAAGGAACGGGAGCTTACGTGGTAGTACTCGGCGTTGACTTTGTAGAAGGAAGCATGTACAACCGTCTCGACCGAGTCAAAGGTGTCGAGCACCTTCTGGCATGTCTCGAGGTCCTTCTGCGCTCCATCGAGGTTGTTCAGCCGTTGCTTGACGTTGGCGACGTCCGCGAGGGCGTAGATGTAGGCGTCTTGTGTGTCGGGTTTGTTGACTTTGTCGGCGAGGGAGGTGAGGAAAGCGAGGCGTTCTTGGTCATCTACAAACAGGTTAGCTAAGTGACTTGCAGCGGGAGATAGGTGGCAACGAACCGGCACATTGTGTCGATGCCATCAACCCCAGCGAGACGAACTTGAGCTGGTTGATCCGCTCGGCGAAGCTCAGAACAAAGGTCTTGAATATCGGTAGTCGCTGGGGCGCACTCTCTGGTAGACGGAAGAAGTCGATCAGGGCGTTGGTAAGCTGATGCCATAACTTGCGCTCCCAGTAGTCTTCGAAGCTGAGGAAGAAGGCCTGGCACTGCTCGGGAGCTTGTTGCAGCTGCTCGGCCAGGAAGTCGGAGATCTTCTGGTTCTCCATGGCGGAGGTGAATTGGGGAGGAGGGAGGGAGAGAGGTGGATTCAGTTGTATGAGGCTAGAATTAGAACACGAGGGGGAGAGAGGGAATGCTGACGGAGAATGAGGGAGAATGGAGATGGAGATGGCCAGAAGGTTGACGATGCGCTGCCTCTTTCGGATGGAGGAGCTCGGGCGGTGTCTCTGCCGCACCGTAGCCACATGACATAATCCATATCTACAGCTGCACTTCGACACAGAGATAGAATCAATTGTAAATATTAATGAATGTAAAATGAGTCACAAGATGCATAATTACGTCTAGAACTATAGACACCAGCCATGCGACGTGTTCTGTTGCTTTTGGTGGGCCCATCGTCGTAAAGTATCCGATATCTCTCCGAGGGTATAGAAGAGTCCATGAGTGGATGTATCGCTATAAAAGCCTTTGTTCTCGACTGGGCTCTGGCATCTATCGTCTCTCGCTCACTCTTGTTAGCTCTACATCCTTAACTTACGGACCTACCACAACCATCCCTCTGACGACTATATATAACCGCCATGTCCAACTTCACAGAGAAGAACCGACAGGTCTTTGAGTAAGTCCATCCCATCTCACTTGAAGGGTTGGCTGACATTGTCCAGCAAAATGGCCGGCACCTACAAGACCGATTTTGGCCGTGCCCTGCAGATGATCTACCAACAGGTCCAGAGCCGTCGTCATTGGGCCAGTGACGTCTGGACCGATACCGACGCAGGCAAAGGAAAAGAGATTAGGATGCTAGAATATGCCTGCGGTCCTGGAAACGTCTCCCTGGTAAGTGACTATTCTGTTCAAAACAATGTAAGCTAACATGTCAGGCATTGGCACCGTTTGTCTCCAAGGTAATGGGTCTGGATGTCTCCGACGCCATGGTGAACGAATATAACAACAATGCCCGTGAAGCAGGGCTGTCGGACAAGATGGTTGGCCGCAAGGGCGATCTTCTAGCCGACACAGTACCCTCCGAGATCTCAGGGCAAGAGTACACTGACTTGGACGTCGTCTTTGTCAGCATGGCTCTTCACCACTTTGAGAAACCCGATCTGGCAATGAAACGGTTCGAAGAACGGTTGAAAGCGGGTGGTGTGTGCTTGATCATTGATCTGGTCCCAGACTCTCATAGTCATGAGCACCTGCATGAGTTCGCAGAGACTAGAGAGACGATCAAGACACATGGATTTTCGAAGGACGCTATGCAAAAGCTGTATGAAGACGCCGGGCTAGGAAAGGGGTTTGACTACCAGGTCATTGAGGAGCCGATGGTGTTCCAGAAGAATGGACAGTCGATGTCGAAGACGATCTTCATTGCGCGGGGTGAGCGGTGATGCTAGATGGTTATCAAAGAGGTGTAACTGTCGAAGAAATACCAGCAAATCTTCATTTTTGGTGATGTTGTAGGAAGTAGACGGCTGTCCAATCAGGATTCGCGAATAGTCAGACGAGAACAGACGAAAGAGAGAATGGCCGTGGCGCCACGAGCGAGACAGCGAGGACTTTCCAGAGAAAATAGGCCTTATAGAAATACCATCTTCTTTCGACTCAGGGTGTCTTCCAGCGTAGAACTGTCGTGGTAGAACGCAAAAGGTGGAGGAGAGACATACCGAATCGGGACTAGCGCACAGGTCCCGTGCCCGCGGCAGTTTGCGTTTCTGAACTGAGTGACTTCCGACCTCCAGCAGCACCCAGTCTCGCCTGTTGAGCTCGCCTCTCCCCTCCCATCTCGCTCCTTTCACCTCCTCAAGCTCAATTCCCGACGCGATTCGCTGGTCTCATCGGTCTTCCTGCTGAAAGAGATAGAGACCATGCAGAAGTGCCGGGCCGTCAATTCCGCCCTGGGGTCGAAGACCTTCGTCCCCACCGCTCGCGTTCAATTCCAAGTCCAGCGCCGCAATCTGCAGGATGTCGCCATCACCCGTACAGGAAAGCCGATTCTGAAGGTCCAGGGTGGACGGTAAGCGCAATTGTGTGGGTGTGAGTGGGTGATGTGGCTAACTATCCGTCGTGCAGGTCGTCCCTCGGAGGTACCGATGAACCCTTCGTCCGTCCGATCCGCATTGTGCTTGGAGAATCTAACGAGGATGGAATCTAGGACATACCGCTACTGTTTTCGGCGCCACTGGTTTCCTCGGTCGTTACATCGTCAACAAGCTCGGTAGGTTGGGCAGCTCCTTTTGGCGTCGCATCCGGAATTGACAACGTCTAGCCACGCAGGGATGCACTGTCGTCGTGCCCTACCGCGAGGAGATGACGAAGAGACACCTGAAGCCCACCGGTGATCTTGGCCGGGTCAACTTCATCGTACGTCTGCCACCTAGCGGTCGACCGACATGTCAACTAACCCCCGCAGGAATACGATCTTCGCAACACCCAGTCGATCGAAGAGAGCGTCCGTCACTCCGACGTGGTCTACAACCTTGTCGGCCGTCAATACCCTACCAAGTTCGTGGTGGAAGCAATCAATTGGGCGGCATGAGATGCTGATATGAGCAGGAACTTCTCCTACACGGATGTCCACGTTGACGGCATTGAGCGCATTGTCGAGGCCGTTGCCAAGTACGATGTGGACCGCTACATCCACGTCTCTTCCTACAACGCCAACCGGGACTCTCCGTCGGAGTACTTTGCCACCAAGGTTCGTCCTGTCTTATTGGGGTCGTGTATATGATGTTAATGATTGCAGGGCTGGGGTGAGGAAGTCGCCCGCTCCATTTACCCCGAGACCACCATTGTCCGTCCGGCCCCCATGTTCGGTTTCGAGGATAACCTCCTGCACAAGCTCGCCAAGGTGACCAACCTGTTCACCGCGAACCACATGCAGGAGCGCTACTGGCCTGTTCACGTAAGACGTCATGATCGCCGAACGTTCCGCGGACACCACGAAAACTAATGCGTTGTAGGTGAACGATGTTGGTGCCGCTCTTGAGCGCATGCTCCACGATGACACCACGGCCGGCGAGACTTTTGAGCTGTACGGCCCGAAGAACTACTCGACCGCGGAGATCGCCGAGCTGGTTGACAAGGAAATCATCAAGCACCGCCGTCACATCAACCTTCCCAAGGCCATCTTCAAGCCCCTGGCGTACTACTTGAACAAGTTCCTGTGGTGGCCCACCGTCTCCGCCGACGAGGTCGAGCGCGAGTTCATGGACCAGGTCATCGATCCTACGGCCAAGACCTTCAAGGACCTGGGCATTGAGCCGACTGATCTGGCCACCCTGACCTTCCACTACCTGGTAAGCGGTCCGATGATGAACGCGAGGATGCAGCTGACTGTTGTGTAGAAAGGATATCGTAGCTCTTCGTACTACGACCTGCCTCCGGCGACGGAGCGGGAGAGACAGGAGGAGAAGAAGTACGTGCACGTGCTGGACAGCCAGTAGTCGACTCTGTTTTTTAATGTATATAAGTCTGCCTAGAAGTTTCTTTTGTGACTGTCTTGCCTAGATATACAATCGTAGACAATCATCGGCAAGTGATCTGAAGCGGCGGCCTCGGCACTCCGCGTATCCACCTCCGACTTCAGTAGTATCGACATCATCACTCCAGCAAAACAAACGAAGGGGAACGAGACGAAGCGAAAAGACAGAGAAAATGCCCCCAAAATACACCTTCCAGTCCACCCCGATCCTCCTCCTCAAGACCAAATCCTCCCCGCAAGACAGCTACGAAGAATATTTCTCCGCACACGGCTACTCCCCCGTCTTCATCCCGGTGCTGGAACACCACTTCCACGAACAGAACCTCCAGTGGGTGCGCGAGCTCTTCGACTCCGGCGCCCTGCAACCCGGTCCGGACCGAAAATATGGCGGATTGATCTTCACCAGCCAGCGTGCGGTGGAGGGGTTCGCGTCGGTGGTGTCCGCGCTATCTCGTGCGTCCCTCGTCCCCTGCATCCCATCCCCTCAAGGAACACACAACGAGAAGATCCAATGCTAACTATACAATGCGACGATAGAAGAAACAACAATCCCCTCGTCCCAAGACCTTCCCCTCTACACCGTCGGCCCCGCAACCGCCCGCTCCCTCACCACGCTCCGCGACGCCCATCTCCCGCATGCCTCCATCCACGGCGCCGACACCGGCAACGGCGAGAACCTCGCCCGGTATATCCTCACGCACTACAATTCCCTCCCACACCCGCACACCGCAAGCCCGAAACCACCCCTGCTCTTCCTCGTCGGCGAACAGCGCCGCGACGTCATCCCGCGCATGCTGATGCGCGAGGCGCCCGAGGCCCAGCGCATTGTTGTCGACGAGCGCGTCGTCTATGAGAGCGGTGTTATGGAGGGTTTTGAGGGGGAATTTGCAGAGGCTGTTGGGGCTGTGGAAGCGCTTTTGTCTGCATCGTCTGCGATGGCAGCAGACGGAGGATGCGCGGAGAAGGCGTGGGTGGTGGTGTTTTCGCCGACGGGGTGCGAGGCCATGCTGCGCGTGCTGGGGAGTAGGAAGGGGGTGTGTGTTGCGACGATTGGGCCGACTACGAGGGACCATCTGGTGCGGAGGTTTGGGGTGCAGCCGGCGGTTTGTGCGGAGATGCCCAGTCCGGAGGGGGTGGGGAGGGGGATTGAGCGGTTTCTTCAGGAGGGAGCTACTAAATAGAGAGAGTACTTGTACTTGGTACTTCTAGAAGACCAGCTTGTCTGTTCCATTAAGCACTACGCCGAACCAAGACCACGGCCATGTCGCGACAGCTCACTAGCTACAGATGTATGTGCATGTCATGCTTATCCTTCTCGTCGGTGAAATGAGTATGATGCATCATGTCCATATCAGGATCCTGGCGGTTACCGCATGATCTCCTCGTAGATCAGGACTAGTCACGTTAGAAAATAGGTCCTGGTACCAATAGACGGCTGACCGAAGACACTTACTCTTCAACTGCTCCTTGCTGAGCGCATCCTTGTTCTTGTCAAAGTCGAAGAAGCCCTCCGGGATCGGCGGCGCCGTGGGCTCATCGTCCGGGTCGTGGTACGGCTCCAGGTACGGATGGCGCAGCGCCTCCTCGACGGTGATGCGCTTAGCTGGGTTGAACGCCAGCAGTCTCTCCAGGAGATCCAATGCCAGCTCGTTGCTCTTCGGGAACAGCGCCTTGAACGGGATCTTCTTCTTGAACGGGAGGGACCGGATGTATTCGCGCGCGCGGCGGGACTTGATGCCGTAGTAGTCCTCCATGGTCGGGGTGCCCAGAACGTCCAGAATCAGGGTCAATTGATGGTGGTCTGCCAATCGGTCAGCATTCAGTAGACAACCAAACCCCGAAAAGTCTTACAGTCTTTCCCAGGAAATAAGGGCTTTCCGCTCAGCATCTCGGCCAGAATGCAGCCCACGCTCCACACGTCGATGGCTTTGGTGTATTCCTTGAAGGTCAGCATGATCTCCGGGGCACGGTACCACCGAGTCGCCACGTATTCCGTCATGAAGCCCGAGTTGTCGTCGGTCGACGCGGCCGAGCGGGCGAGACCAAAGTCGCAGACTTTCAGGTCGCAGTTGGCGTTGAGAAGAAGGTTGGATGGCTTGAGATCACGGTGAAGAACGTTGGCGGAATGCATGGCTTTCAGCGCCCGCAGAGTCTGGTAGATGAAGTATTGGCAGTGGTCGTCGGACAGGTCTTGGGTACGAATCACGCGATGCATGTCGGTTTCCATCAATTCCTAACCTGCGTCAGCATTGCCCGTCATGGCGTATCCAGGTGTAGTACCTGAATCAGATACACTTCGTTGAAGCTCTCGTAGTTGCGGGGCCGCTGGATATCTAGGATGGAAATAATGTTCTCGTGGTTGAAGTATCGGAGCAGCTTCATCTCCCGCAGCGTTCGCAGGCAGAACATGGAGTGGTCGAAGGGAGTGATCTTCTTGATGGCGACCTTCTGGCCGGACGGTTTGTGGATGGCAGAGCTGTGACGGTCAGCGACAGCCCGACGCCGCTTGCACCCGACTCACCAGACAACCCCGTAGGCGCCCTCGCCGATGACATCCTGGATTTCATATTGGTCGGAGACGTTGAAGGAGATCTTGCGCGAGCCCCCCTGAGGAGGTAGCTGTTGCACCATCTTGCAGTGTTCTCTGGAGGCGAACGTTAGTCCATTAGATGCGTGACGGAGCTGTAATGGAAGACGACGCTTCGCTCGCAGAAGCCATCAAATACTTGCAGCATTCGATGCCCCTACGCCGCTGGCGAGACACGTAGGAAACGCGCGTGGGCTCCACTTCCGTGCAACAGTACACCAGAACACCCGGGGAGCTTACATTCAGGGACACGCAACGGGTCGCTTGAAAATACAGAGATTGCGGAATCGGGAGAATTCGCATGCGCTGGTGGCTCGAACCGGGAGAGGGACAGTCTTCGGGATCTGCCACTATCGGGATGCGGGGTACCCCGTGTCAGCGATGGGAAGCGATGTGACCGGTCAGATGGCGGCGGATTGATGCTGCAGGGGTGACGGATGCGAGCGACAGAGTGACGCGATCCGCTGGATTGGGCCGAGCTGGACAAGCTTGATGGAGATGCGACGGGAGTGTAAAGAGGCTAGACATCGATCACGTCAATAAGGGACCATGACCAGGGGAGCTCGATCGATCTGAGGGGAATGAGGAATTCTCGCAGTCCCCGACACAGCCGACGGATCGGATCAAGCAGAGGAGCAGAAGAATAGGAGATGACGCATACCTGGAAGTCGAGACCGGTCTCGGTTGATGGATGCTGTTGGGTGTTTCACCACACCGTTCTATTTGGAATTTCTCTGCGATAAGCGGAGAAGGGAGAAATCGGGGGGGATCAGGAACGGCTGTAGATGTTCAGGTACCACCACTGCAGGGCTGGAGATGCGGGACGTGACGGAGCACGTAAGAATACGACGAAGGGCGAGACAGCACGAGATAAATAAACAGAGCTGGCATCCAAGACGATGTTGCTGCTGTTGTTGTTATTAAACCGGGAGCGGATCGGCCAGAGTGGGGTGGGGCAGCCGTGGAGGGGAAGCTCTGGACTAGTAGAAGACTAGATGAGACTCGAGATCAGGAGAGAAGCTGAAGGGAGGAAGAGAACGAAAGAGGAGAAAGAAAGGATAGAGAGGAAGAAAGTAGGGAGAGAGTAAGGAGAGGGATGGGAAGAAGAGGAAGTGCAGAGAGAGGAGGAGATGCTAACTACCTAAAGGTACCTACAGATGTGATAGACGCAAATGACGATGCCAAAACACGGTCAAGCGATGGGGCCTCCCAATCGACTCCGGCTCAACCAGTGTTTCATTCCAGCGCCAAACCGGCCCTCTGGTCCACTACGTTGGAAAAAAAGAAACGCAGACGAAACGAAAGGGGGCAGTGCAGCGCCCAACTAGTAGTAGTTACGGAGGAGACTACTGCTCTGTCCATCACAAGTCGTCACAATCGCCAGCCTTGGCAGCCCCCTCTGCAGGTGCTGGCGTTAACTGGCCCTGTCGATTGGAACAGGACACGCACAAAAAGCAAAGAAACCAACAAGAAAGTCACCAGTCAGCGTTCGTGCTCTCGATGAGCATGTCTACAGCAAATCCTAGTCGTCCTCTGCAGGCCTCTAATATTGCTTGACAGAAACCCCCCGGTCGAACCATAATAGAATATTTGATATCGCGCAGATGAGATGATGTACCAAAATTGTCTCACAAACTATTATTACTGAACCACCTGTAGCGTGTTCAACCATGTCAGTCGCATGACGTCCAGGGCAGGCACAAGGTCCAAAGGGAGATTCTAGGTATGAGAACAGGATCAGAAGGAAATTGGGGGGTCAAACCTTTTCCCGCAACGATCCCATCCATTGCACCAGGCTGACGCTCTGGTCCGCCCGGTCCTCCACAAACATCGTCTGTGCCCACAGCCGAAGCCCTGGCTCGCCATCCTCCTTCACCACATACAGGTGTGGCACCACGATGCTGCCCACGCCCTTCGACCGGTGGTCCCGGCTCTTCTCGACCACCGCCCGCACCCGCTGGTTGAAGTCGTTGTCCAGATCCGGCAGGTTCTGCTTGCCCACCCGGAGCTGCGACTTGTCGGGCAGTCCGAACACGTCCAGAACCAACTGCGGCACCGCGTCCCGTCCCACCCAGAGGAACTGCGTTTGGCCGTCGTCGATCAGGTACAGTCCGTATGGCACCACCCGCTCGGAAGACAGGTTTACCGGCGGCGGCAGCACAATCTCGCCGGTCTTCTCGTCGGGCAACCCGGCAACGTCCGGCATATCGTGGAGAGAGTACATCTTCGGGTAGATGTACTGCATCAGGAGGGGCAGGGGAAGCGTCGACAGCAGGCAAAGAGCCGCAGACCGCATGTCGGTCGGAATCTGTGCCGATTTCCGAAGTCCCAGCTAGAGTGACATGTCAGTAAACGCTTCGTTCCAAACATAGAAAGCATAACGCAAGGGTCCTACGTTTTTGATCATCGCGAGAAAGAGGACCGGAAGACCTCGCAAGTTGGCAGGGAACTGCAGACCACCTCCGCTCACGCTTCCGCCCGCAAGTTCTTTCCGGTACGTCGCCAGAAGCTCCACAATCTTCGACTGCAGGGCTTCCCGCGCAGGTTCCAGGCCGCTTCCCAGAGCCCGCTCCACCGCCTTGTGACTGAAGTAAGTTGCGATCGCTTGCTGGTCCGCCGACGCATACACATCCGCCAGGTTCTGCGTGGTGGGGAGCGCCAGTGTCAACACCCGGATTCTTCTCTCGCCATTGCACGTGGTGTGGAGCACCGCAGTCTGCAGGCACACCACGGGGCGGGTGATGGTCTCATCGATGGCGACTTCGACCACGTACGCTTGGTCGCGAGGGAAGGCCGGGAAGGCGCACAGGTCGGAGCTGCGGTTAAAGAAGTTTCCGTAGAAGGTGTTCATGCGCAGGCCAGTGGTGGCACGGACACGGAGGACAGCTTCCAGGCCGATCTCCGACGACAGATAGTCCGAAAACTCGCGCGCGAACTTGATGGCGTCTTCGCCGCGAGCCGCGTTCCATCCGGGGTAGAAGTACGTCTGTCCACCGGTGTAGCGGGGCAGGTTGCTCAGAGACGCCACGTCCTGGTACTGCGAAGAGAAGAGGAACATGTCCACCGAGACTTGGGCCTTGGAACACTCCACCGCGAAGCTCTTGTAGAAACTGTTGGCCGTCTGCAGCAGACTGCTTTCCTTGCTAGTACCCAAGACCTTCTTGTCTTCTCTCATGGTCAGAGCGCCATGACCAACGTTGGGCAAGGATGAACTGAGCACAGTCATCTTGCCTCCAACAGGAGCAATCAGCTTGTAGCCCGCACGCAGAGCCGACCCCATAGCGCAGCCGTTGTTCTGCGTGTTCTGGAACATCTCCTGTAGCTTGTCGAGGAACGACTCGATGTTTTCGCGGCATTCGCTCAAGGTGACGAGCAAATCACCAGGGATAGGAAGGAAGGGTTCGTCCAGATCGCTGACAACAAGCATCTGGGGGTTCGAGTTTTCGGAACCATCGCGAGGGATGCTGAAATAGTGAAGGCTCGAATCGACGGCGATGAAGCCCAGGCGGGTTCGGCGGTCTGCATTCGGGATTCGGTCCAGACTCTCCTTGATGCACCGTGCGCTCGTCGCCAGAAGGCCATTCGTAACCGATGCGTAACTCACATCGATCAAGAAGAGATAGACCAGTGGCTGTGGCGGGCGGACCATGTATTCCTGAGGGGCAACAAATTCTACCACCGAGTGGTTGAGATCAGGCCGCAGCGACCGGTCGGCAGGCTTCTGCAGGGCCGTGTCCCAATCAAAGGCCTGCGGCACGTCATTGGTCAAGTTACACATGTTACAACGCCAGCGATGTCCGTGGTCGAGGAAGGTCACGAAGGGGTTGATATAGGAACGGCAACGGCGGCAACGCGAGATGACCTGGTCAGGAATGACGGGGATCGGGTCTTCCGAGTCATGGAGGGCTGCATAGGGTTGGATGACAAGAGCGAATGGCAGCTTCGACTTCTTCAAAAGCGAATGGGTGGTGGGGACAGCGTTCAATGTCGACCGGACATATTTCGGGGGGCAGTTGGCATAAGGGGAGGGGTAAACACTGGTCTAAGGCAGAGTCAGTAACGGTTCCGCCACATCGGCTGGTTGATACGTACACCCGGCGGCAGAACAATGGGAGGAGGCGGGTAGTCCAATTCCGCGACATTGAATGGTTGGGAGAGGAGGTCCGTGGGATACAGCTGGTTGAGCGGGACGGTACGCGGAGCCTGCGGAGCCTGGGGAGCCGGCTGAGGGGGGAGGAGATGCGGATCTGTCATGCCCATTGCCCCAAACTGCTGGGTCATCTGTGCGACACCAGGAGCAGCGGGAGCAGCATATGCTTGAGCCGGGTCTGCGCCATAGGCAGCAGGCTGCTGGTAACCGGCTTGTTGCTGAGGGTAAGCTCCGTAGCTCCCACCAGCTGGCAACTGACCGCCCAGCGCGGCATTGGCACCGGAGCCAAACTCGAACGCCTCCCCAGCATATGCCCGCTTCTTCTTGCCACCGTGTTGAACTGGAGTCGGGGCCTGTTGCTGGGTGGGAGAGCCATAGGCGGCCGGTTGACCGTACCCTTCCTGGGGAGGGTAACCCCCTTGTGGTGCGGCCATGGAGGGTTATGTGTTAGGGAGAGGAATGAATTCGATGGATTTAGTTGATTCGTGAAGTCGTCGGGGAGAAGGAGGTGGATGGATGGTATCGTCGCGTGTCTATCAGAGGCTCACTATGCGGCGGTCAGTCAGGTTGGCTGGGGATAGGAGGGGGTATTAATCAAGAAAGCCGGGGACATCTGCATACTGACAAAGCAGAGAGGGGTGATCAGACAAAAATATAAGCAGCGAGGTGAGGATGAACACCGCGCTTGGAGAATGAACAAGGAGAGAAAGTGGGAGAAGAGGAAATGCAACCGAGGCGGACTCGACTGGCGATGATGCTCAGTCGGAAGTGATGATGGTTTGGTTGGTGTACGGTGGCCTTTGCGGCGCCTGCGGGCCAATCAGAACCCCGCATCTTAGCCGATGTGAGCCTGAGGCTCTACACGTCCCTCTACAGTACAGAGTATGCCTCTACAACACTACAACATACCTAGAATTTTATACGGAAGAAACTGAAAGTTCACATTGATATTGATCTTGAATGTTTTGGGAGTAGTTAAGGTTCTCTTGTTCCCTGAGGATCGTCGTTCTATCTGCATACTACCAGAGATCTCTCTCGGAGGCCAAGGTACTACATACTATAGAACCTAATCTTCCTACTCAAACTATATAGGTATGTGTATCTATCAGAAAGGGATGGAGATGGCCTTATGTTCACCAAAATGCAGCCCTGTGCCACGTAGTTGTAGCGCTTTCAGTAACATGCTGATGCATGATAAGCCTCTTGCTTCAGGAAACATAGTGAACCACCGAAAGTAGAGGTTAGTGCTCAGATGAGCCTAAGAATCCTTGAGTATCTGTTCTTGCAACAATAAGGTCCCCAATAGTTATCCGGGGTATTTAGGTAACAAGAGAACTCCCTAGGCTACTGGGTACCTAGGTCAATAATGTGTGGGAGAGGTTGCCGTGCCAACGGCCTCACCGCGCACCCACAACGAAGCTCTCCCTGCAATTCCAACCACCAACTCCTCCGACTTCTCCTCAATCCTCTCCAGACTCCTCACCTACGATTCCCTCTCTCAGGAGTTTCCAACCCTCGGATCCCGTCCCTGGTTCCTTCAACGTCTCACCTTTACTGGTTGAAGCGTTGAGAATCAACATTCTTTGAATCCGAATCTGGGAACAGCCTACCACCACATTAGGCCTACTGGCTCCTTAGGCGATTCTCTTACTTTTCTCTTGGTGCATTAACCTCTATGCAGAGCATACACTTCCTCATTCCCGAAAGCGCAGAAAACACCGGTCGAGTTGGTCCAGTTCAAGATACAAAATGAGCGTCCGTGTCGTTGCACGTGTCAGACCGCTTCTAAAATCCGAACGAGAAGTCGATGTCATTCTGCGAACAGGGTCCTCCACTCAGCTGGTGCACAGCAAAGCCGACAAGACGGGTTCCAAGGACAGCGCCGCTCTCGCCGCTCTAAGGGATCGCGACAACCTCGTGCGCATCCCGAACCCCAAGAACGAGAACGAAGAATACTCCTTTCAATTCAATGCTGTCTATGACGCAGAGTCTTCACAACAGGAGCTCTTCGACGCAGAGGGTTCGTGCTGAAACGTTGTTCGACCGGGTTTGGTGATAGCTTACTGATCGCACGAGCAGTCGCCCCCACCGTTAAGCACCTTTTTAACGGCTTTGACGTCACCTTGTTTGCTTATGGAGTTACCGGCACCGGGAAAACACACACGATGCGAGGTGGTAAAAGCCTAGCGGATCGAGGTGTGATCCCCCGTCTCCTGAGTAGCATATACAGACGCAGCCGCAAAATTGAAAGGGATAGTGAAGGCCAGACTACCGTCAAGGTGTCGCTAAGCTACTATGAAATCTACAATGACAAAGTCTTCGATTTGTTCGAGCCCCCAGAGAAGAGGACCCTGGCTGGTCTGCCTCTTCGTGACAATGGCGGGAAGACTGTAGTTGTAGGACTGACAGAGAGGCCCTGCACCACCCTGAAGGAGTTCGAGACTCTTTATGACCAGGCCAACACCAACCGATCCACGTCGGCAACCAAGGTCAGCGCTTCCACCATGTTGCCCGAAGATGATCTCGAAACTGACCTTCATGCAGCTGAACGCACACTCGTCACGATCGCATGCAATCCTCTGCGTCAAGGTGACGGTCAGCTCGGGAGATAAGACTCGCATCAGCACTGCGTCCGCCATTGACTTGGCCGGCTCAGAGGACAACCGCCGGACTGATAACGACAAGGAGCGCATGGTTGAATCGGCCAGTATTAACAAGAGCCTTTTTGTTTTAGCGCAGTGCGTGGAGGCAATCAGCAAGAAGCACTCGCGGATCCCATACCGCGAATCGAAGATGACGCGAATTCTATCGTTGGGACAGAACAACGGACTGACTGTGATGATTCTCAACTTGGCACCGGTGAAGTCATACCACCTGGACACGATCAGCTCGCTCAATTTCGCCAATCGCACCAAAAAGATCGAGGTTCGCGAGGTAGAGAATGAGCCGATGTTCAAAGGGCCTCCGAGACTATCTACACGACCCTCTGTAATGGGCTCCCAACGGCAGCCGCTCCGGCCTCTGACCAGCTCTGTCAACATAAATCTTGCGGCGGCGGCGAACAAGGACGCGTCGAAACCGGGCGATGTGAAGCCTATGAAAGCATTCCACGTCTATTCTGATAAGAGGCTCTCTGCCCAATTCAAGAAGCCCGAAGTACCGAAACGACCGTCCATAGGTTCAGATGCCACGCGTCATTCCAAGCCGTCTCGTATTGCGCAGCCGTCCCAGCCGCCTAAAAGCTTCGAGGATATCTCCGCAGCCAAGATTGAAGAGATGGTCGAAAAGAAGGTGGAAGAGATCCTGGCAGTGAGAGCAGTCAGCGAGCAGTCGCGGCAGACTCAGGTTCGGGAACTAAACGAACAGGTTCAAAGGCGTCTCGAGCTCCTTGAGCAGCGGATCGAGGGCACTGAGGACGCGAGAGCCGAGGGTCTGTCCTATCTGCTGATGGCAAAGCAGCATCAGGCCCGCAGTGAGGACAGTTCCGCTTTGAAGATGTACCAGCTTGCACTCCCGTTCTTCCCCGACAATGAAAAGCTCGCCACGAAGATAGCCAAGCTCAAAGAACGGATTCAGAGCAAATCTCGTCACGCTATGGAGCCCACTGGAACTTCTGCTCTGGCTCCAGCCAAGAGAGAATTTGGGAGCATGCTCTCGCTGAAGAAGCAGCCCTCCCGAGCCGGAGTCAAACGCTCTGCTGAAGAGTCTGATGCTGACTATGAGGATCCCGAGGTGCTGAGTGATGATGATATCACAGAAATCACCACCCACTCCAGACGCAAGAAGCGCACAAAGACGAAGTCCTCCGACGAGGAGTGCACCCTCGACAGCCACGAGGAATCTCCTTCGCCCCGGACCATTCACCTCCTCTCAATTATCAACTCCCGTGATGTGAGTCAGATCAAACTCCTCAGGGGCGTCGGCGTCAAGAAAGCAGAGGCTATTGTCGACTGTCTTTGCGAGATGGACCAGCACTTGGATAGCAGTCATGATGACAGCGCCCAAGTGCAGATCAACAGCCTTGTTGAACTGAGCAAACTGAAGGGTGTCGGAGTCAAGACGGTTGAAAACATGAGAAATGGGGTTCTGGTGTAGAAAGTTGGACAATTGCGATTCATCATAGATACCCGCATTTTTGGAGCTTCAGGGATACCACATGGATCATATGGTCTTTGCATTCTGGCGTTTCTGTCCTGCATGCAGGTTTCTTGCCAGGCTTCAGATATGTTGATGCATGATTTGCTTTCCAGCGACGGTGTTCAGGTGTTGTTTTTATTCAGCAATTTGCATGTCTGCTATCTGCTACTTCAATCTGATGCATTCATATCCACCGTTGGATGTTATATCAAAACACTGTCCACCACGCACCTGCATGGGCATTATCGTACAACACTGGAGTCCAAGTACGTTGAGGAGCTATTCAAGAGACACAACTTATGACTGTGATACATAGACATCAGACACGCACTCATTAACAAAAGAAAATCCATAGGAAGTCGACATGCCATCACATGCTATCTATAATACATTAAACCGGGAGAACAGGGAGAGAAACGTCTAGTTCTCTAGATATTGACTTTTCACGCATGCACCCAGCCTCAAGCTGTGCACTCAGTTCTTCTGCCCGGCTTTCTCAAAGAAAACCTTCCCCTCCTTCGTGATAGTGGCGATCCTCTGAGCCGACCCCTCGACTTCCTGAATCAAGTCGTCGACAGACCTGGATGGCGCATCCGGCGTGGGTTGGAGGGCCTCCTCGGCTGTCTTCTTGTCTTCCGAAGGCTTGCGCGGGCCGATGGTCAGGCCGCGGGGGGAATCTGCGATCTCGTTGACCTCGTGCGTGGTCAGGATCTCGTTGATGCGCGGGCCGCGGGTCTGGAGGAGAATGGTGGTAGGGCCGTCGAACTGGAGGAAGAGCTGTTGCGAGGGATGTTAGTGTGCTCATCAATTGTGCTATATCGGACGACGGTCACGTACCCTGTCACCCCAGATGGTCATTCGCGACCATGTCCGGATCTTGTGGAACAGCTTCATAGTGCCCTTCCATGTGTCCGTGTCTGACATGTCCTGGATGAACTTGGAATCTTGGATGAAGCGCGGCAGGCTCTTGAGGCCCGGGACTTGGAACTTCAGGGTGGTGGATTTGAAGCGGTAGGGACGAGGGGGGTTGGAGGACATGGTGTATGCCACGACATTGCTTGGGCCGTTAGCATCGATGTGGGTGGTCAACGGGGATAAAAGACAAGATACCTGGGGTGCACGATGTATTGCTCTCCGGCCTTGAGCTCGACGGAGTACAGCTGGCCTGTTCCCACCAATGCTAGCAGACCTCTTCCGGTGACCTCGGAGCTGCCCCAGTGGGCGATGCTCTGGGTTCAGTCAGTCGACGTGCTTCAAGATGCGGGATGTGACAGGCGGCAACGAACCAGGCTTGTGTTGATGGTCGGACGGATAGACAGCGAGCGACCAGTCCAGGCTAGCAATGCGCGTCTTTGAGCCACCATCCAATCCACGGAGCCGTTGAGGTGAACGACGGCGAAGGAGGTGACGGGAGAACGGACGGAGACCAGGGCGGTCACGGGGCTCGCTGAAGACACCTGCAGCAGCCGTCAACAATCTCAATTGGGGTGTGTTTATGGATCAAGGGACGGACCTTCTGGTAGAGAAACGGGACGCCGACAACCGCCCTCCGGAAGGGTTCTAGAACGCTCAGCGTCGAAACGACCTAGCGACCATGCTCGTCAATAACCGTTCTCGAGGAATCACGCCATTACCAGGCCAGAAGGTAATCCTACATTATCTGCCTTCCCACTCAACCCAACCAATGTCCCTCGCCGGGTGTACAGGTTCTGTGAAGCGGACAGGGAGACGGACAACATCGAGTACGGCGCACCGATGACATCGAACCGGGCATCTGCAATTGCTGGCGTTAGCGGAGACCAGGGAGAACTGGCGCACACAGGGCAAATATCCATCCAACAGAAGACGACATACCGGACGACTGCGCCGAATTGGGTGTCGCTACGACGGGGAGGTGATCTCCATTAACAGAGGCAGGCTGTTCGGCGGGAGCGGCGCGAATCTGGACGCATCTTGTCTGGGATGCCGACAGCCCCTGTCGCGCGCGGGGCGGCAGGACTCGGGTCCAGGACAGAGCGCGCACGCCTCTCCTCCAGGGTTGACTCATTGTCGTGCCTGAGGGGATTCCGGTGCAGGAGAACAGCGTCGATCGATAAGATTGGCGTGGATTGATTCAATCGCCGGCAATTCTTCGTCACGCGCGGGCGGTGCCTGATCGGGAAAAGCGCGCTTAGGTCTTGGCACAAGCACCAGATTCCACAGCGTTGTCTTGATGAGGCTTCGATGGAGATTTTTCGTAGATTTGCTCGATGGGGGAGAGGGTCTCTCTTGTTAATTTATCTATTTGTCTTTTGCTGCGACTGTTGTTTGCGTGGGTTGGCCCTCTGATGTCATATCGATCTCACCATGAGAGCAAGTATACACTGCGATATATATCACCACCACAACACCAACCACCACTTTTCTAAGGAGTATGCTTGATGTATGTGAGACCAAGCCAGAAAATACGAATACATGCCATACCCATATTGTATCTCTCAGGGCAGAGCATTTCACGCCCCCCACACCTCACGCGCTGAAATCGGCGATTGCGACAGAACCGCATGGACTGGTGTGATGCCCCCAATGGTTCTCTACGTAGTATTAATACCCTGCAGTAATACTCTCTTTCTTTCGAATACACCTCTGTCTAGAACATCGCCTGGGTGCTTGTCAAGTCGAGGTGCTACCGTAGTATAGTTGCGGCCCCGGACTACCCAAAACCAACAATATCCCACGCCGCCTTTTCCTCCGAACCCGGCGGTCCCCATCTCCAGAACGCCAATCCGCGCAGAACAACACCCATCTTTCAACCAGAACCATGTCCCATTGACTACAATATCAGAAGCCCTCGATCGCCTTAATCCCCTCCGAACTGATATCAACCACCAACCATGCTGCCCAGGGCAGCCCGACCGCCTTGCTTGCGCTTCTCCGAGCGCTTCATACTCCGCGGGACCGCCGATCCGCGTTCAGCATCATGGCGAGCTGCTAGCTATGCCACTCACCTTCGAGCCTTTTCAACGGGGAAAGGCCCCTTGCGAAAACAGTCAACCCCCGACACTCCGTCAGACTGGAAACCGCCGAGCTCGCACGCGCCGCCAGTATCTCGTCCGGTCGATGCAACCCCCGCCCTGAAGCCGAAGGATGTCCAAAGCACGGCTGCGTCGGCGTCGCCGAAGAAGGACCTGCTTAGCGAGACCACAGTCGCAAGCAAGGAGCAGAGGAAAGCAGACTGGGCTATAATGAAGGAGATGGTGAAGTACCTGTGGCCCAAGGTAGGGAAGCTGAGCTTGTTCACCTCTGGGAGGCGATCTATGGCATTAACGAGTCGCGTAGGATGACTGGGGAACGAAGCTGCGTGTGGGGACAGCCTTGTCATTACTGGTCGGCGCAAAGGTTAGTTGGATCGAAAGCGATGGTCGGGCAGCGATGAGTGTTCACACGATCCTCTAGATTCTGAATGTCGAAGTTCCCTTCTACTTCAAAAGCATTGTCGATTCGATGAACGTGGACTTTGCAGCTATTGGGGGTACCGCTTACACAGTCGCGGGGTCTATGATCATAGCCTGTAAGAGAGCGCTATCTGCACGCGGTCCCTGGGTCTAACCGACTTATTCCAGACGGCGCGACGAGAATCGGCGCCACCCTCTTTCAAGAGCTGCGAAATGCGGTTTTTGCTAGCGTCGCACAGAAGGCGATTCGCCGCGTCGCGCGGAATGTCTTCGAGCACCTCCTCCGACTCGACCTGAACTTCCATCTCAGCCGCCAGACGGGTGGATTGACGAGAGCAATCGACCGCGGAACCAAGGGTATCAGCTTCCTGCTGACGTCCATGGTGTTCCACGTCGTCCCTACTGCTCTGGAAATCTCTCTTGTCTGCGGAATTCTGGTATGTTGGCAAAACACGCTTATATTCCACTGGCTCGACTAAACCATGCACAGACGTACCAGTATGGCTTCCAATTTGCCGCCATCACCGCCGCCACGATGGTGGCCTACTCCGCGTTCACTATCACGACGACCGCGTGGCGCACCAAGTTCCGGAAGCAGGCCAATGCCGCCGACAACCGGGGAGCCACCGTGGCGGTGGACTCGTTGATCAACTACGAGGCGGTCAAGTACTTCAACAACGAGAAGTTTGAGGTGGCACGCTACGACAAGGCTCTCAAGGCGTACGAAGATGCCTCCATCAAGGTCACGACCTCGCTGGCGTTCCTCAACTCGGGCCAGAACATGATCTTCTCCAGCGCGCTCGCGGCGATGATGTACCTGGCCGCCAACGGCGTTGCCAGCGGTAACTTGACCGTCGGCGACCTGGTTATGGTCAACCAGCTGGTGTTCCAGCTTTCGGTGCCGCTGAACTTCCTTGGGTCGGTGTACCGGGAACTGCGCCAGTCGCTCCTTGACATGGAGACGCTGTTCAACCTGCAGAAGGTCAATGTGAACATCATGGAGAAGCCGGACGCGAAGCCGCTGCAGCTCAAGGGCGGCGAGATCCGGTTCGAAAACGTCACATTCGGATACCACCCGGACCGGCCGATCCTCAAGAACGCAAGCTTTACGATTCCTGCTGGCCAGAAGTTTGCGATCGTGGGACCCAGCGGCTGCGGCAAGTCGACGATTCTGCGCCTCCTGTTCCGGTACTACGACGTGCAGGAAGGACGCATCTTGGTGGACGGCCAGGATGTCCGCGACGTGACGCTGGAGAGTCTGCGGAAGGCGATTGGCGTGGTGCCGCAAGACACGCCCCTCTTTAACGACACGATCGCGCACAACATCCGCTATGGGCGCATTGACGCGACGGACGAGGAAGTGCGGAAGGCGGCGCAACGGGCGCGGATTGATGAGCTGATCGAGAAGCTGCCGGAGGGGTACAAGACGGCCGTAGGAGAGCGGGGAATGATGATTTCGGGGGGTGAGAAGCAGCGACTGGCGATTTCCCGGTTATTGTTGAAGGACCCGGAGCTGTTGTTCTTCGACGAAGCGGTAGGTCCCTCCCAACCCTCTGTCTCATTCGGATCGGGCTGATTGAGGGAATAGACGTCGGCGCTGGACACGTACACGGAACAGGCGCTGTTGCAGAACATCAACAGCATCCTCAAGGAAAAGGCGCGCACCAGCGTGTTTGTGGCGCACCGACTACGAACCATCTACGATAGCGACACGATCCTGGTGCTGAAGGAGGGTCGTGTGGCGGAGATGGGGTCACACCGGGAGCTGTTGGATCTGAATGGCATTTACGCGGAGTTGTGGAATGGTGAGTTTCTCTCTCTCTCTTTTCCTTTTACAATCTCGGAAATTATGCTGATGTGTTGCAGCGCAAGAAATGTCCCTTGCGCAGGATGGAGAGGAGGAGAGCATCGAGACGGAAGAGGCGGATCCTCGACAGAAGTAGTCTGTTGGAGTAGTTGATTTGTAGAGTGACTTCGTTAGATTCTGGGTACATAGATTGAATTATCTAAATTCTCTCCATTTATTGGCGCCAGAGGTTTCACCATACGATTGTGGTGGAGGCTAAGGTTGGTAGCCACGATGGCTGGCGCGAAGGATGCGACTGAGGAAATCCGAAGCGACTGCAGGGCGGGAAGCAGAGAATTCTCCGCCGAACGTGGGAGATGCGGTGGGGTAACAGTAGTAGTATGTATGTATGTTGTACAGTAGTAATAATGAGATGGATTAATTGAGTCTGGACTCTAGTAATATAGGGTGAAACTAATAGAATACTCCGTGATAATGCTATAACACCTTGATACTATTAAGGTACCAAACCCCTGGCTAACCCGATGGGGAAGGGTACTGGCGAGTACCTGCGGGGACGTGCGGTGGTGCGGTCGACTCAGGTACATTCAGGTACCCGGCCAGCACTAACTAGTACTCCGTAACCAGTCTAGTCGGGGCTTTCTCCCACTTCCTTTTCTCTCCTGCATTCCTCGAACAATTCGCTGCTCCTTCACCCTCTTTTCCATTCTTCGTTCCTTGTTCTGTTGCTTTGGCTCCCCCACATTCCTTCGTCACGGAACTCTCTCTATTTGTTGATCTCCGGTTCTTTGTTTGCGCTATCAACCCTAGTCGCTCTTCTCTTCCGCTCCTTTATCCAACCCCCAATCGGGACTTCAATTCCTCCTATTCCTTCCCCTCTCTGTCCTTTCATCTCGCATCCTCCCTTCCTCTCCTTTCTTCCACTATACTCTGCTCATCCCCTGCTCGGAATTGCTCGCGTGGGGCTTGTTCCGGATCGCCTCAGTCCTCGGGGAGAGATAAGGTAAGACATCCTCGTTGCTTCGACCCCTGCATCCGTCCGTCCACTTTCAAACTGCAGAGCGAGACACGTTCCACACAATCATGCGAATGGAACTGATTCATCCGTATAGTCCGTCTCCACTCGTTCGTTGTTTACCACGGTCCTTGCGCTGCGCATCTTCCCTTGCGAATCTTCCATCGGTCTTCCATCCTATCTCTAGACGCACGCCAGCGTCCATCGGTTCACCGCCGCGATATCATTATCCTCATCCACAATCACCACCATGGGTCTCATTGAGAAACTGCAAGCCAGTACGTCCTGAGCACTTAACCCCCCTGACGGACTCTCTAACACTTCACAGAGATCGAGCTCTACCGGCTGGAGCAGCGCTACGCGCGTCGCAAACACCGCAGCACCTTCTCCGGCGTCCCATACGTCGATGGTGAATATGTCTACAACGGCGCCAACTCGCCCACCGGAACCGTCTCGAAACACTCCACCGGCAGCTACTGGAAGCCGCCCACGTTCTCTTCCTCGTCCACCGATTCGCGATGGCGGTGATTGATCGTCTATCCGATCGTTTGTGTCTCTTTCCATGTCATTCCATTTCCTATCTCATGTCCCTCGACATCACGTCTTCTGTGGGGGATGTCACGATATTTCCGATTTCCACATGCCCGGATGTTCTATCGAAGAAAAACCAATCAAAATGCCAGCCTCGGATAGAGAACTCGGAGTCTGGACCGTCTGGTTGGTAACTGGCCGTCTGCTTCATTGACTGATGCTCGCCCGGTTCTCTTGCCTCGTCCACTCCCTCTTCTTGTCGCTTCCAGCCGAGCGGCGTATGTTGGAGTTGCTCCGGCTTTCTTTCATTGACCTTTTCTTTTTCCCCCGACATGACTGCGGCTTGGTCAGCCCTCCTTTCCTTCTCGACCGACTGGCATAGCCCCCGCTCCTCCCATCGTCTCCACTGCCAGGTACAGCGTATCCCCGGCCAGGCGCCAGGCGACGGCGAGGAGCGGCGATGTGCGGTGCATTCTGTTCGGCTGTGTCTATATTCTGAGGATATTAGCGAGTCGTCTAATGACTTGTCTCATTTTACGTTGTTTTAGCTCTTGATCTTTCTTTGGCCTTGCTTCGCTTCGTTGTATATATAGATTCTCTGTCTGACGCTGTTTACCCGACTATCGCAACGATCATCATACCATCATCCCACTCTGGCCACCCGCTGCGTAGGACGGCTCTACCGTAGATAGTCCCAGCGCAATGGACGCATTCTGCCACTTATATTCAATACACATACCTAGTTACTTTTCCACAGCACATCCGCTACATCACCGCTTCGATTTCCTCCCCCCAATCCCCAGCCGGCCCAAGTTCGGCAGACTGGACTTCTGCTTCGTCGCCGTCCCGAGTAGAGAACCGCCCTTCTGGGTCCCCGGCTCTGCCGCTCCACCGCGCCCGTCACCGCCACCGCTTCCGAGCACCCCGGTCCGCGGCGCATCGGGAAGCACGCTTCGGTCTCGCGGACGCGCGTGATCGGCAGTGGACATCGCCATCGGGAAGGCCGTCATGTCCCCATCTAGGGCGCGCTGCGAGGCGCGCTGCGATCGGCGTGCGGCTTCCTGCACTGATTTGAACTTGTCGAGGAGATCGACCCAGCGGATGGAGTTCTCGTCGCGTTTGAGGCGGGTGCCGCTGGGGCGGTCATAGGTGCTTGATGCGGGCCTGTGTAGATGGCTGTTAGAAGGCTTTTGTGTCTGACTTTCAGACGATTATATCTGACGTACCCTCGTGGCCCCGGGTGAAGGAGTCCGATGTTGCTGACGCTGTTGAGGCGGTTCTTCAGCGCGGCGAAGGCGGAGCTTTGCGGGAGCAGCATGAGCACGCCGTAGAGGCATTTGTAGAGATAGGGGTATTTCTCGGGCTCGAGTAATTGGAGTCGGAGATCTACATTGGTTAGATGGGGATTGTATATTCGGGTGAAGAGGGTGGACGAACAGGTGAACACTGGTGACTCGAGGAGCTGGACTAGTTTGTCGATTTGGATCAACATATTCACGGTCATCTCGAGCTCGGCGCTGCGGGTGGTCAGCGTTGATCATCAAAACAGCGGGGATACTCACAACACCTGGAGAAGGTTGTATGCTTGTTCATAGGCCTGTGCAAGGAGACAGAGAGAGAACGTGGATACGGCATTGTGACACCACGATCGGAACAACGCGACGAAGAATGTCTGGCCGTCCTGTATTATGTTAGTATTAGAAAGGAATACAGATGGTAGAAGGCAGTCACCCGTGAGTCTAGATTTCTCAGACGCTTTCGAAGCTCTGACAGCTCTGGTGCAGTGATCAGGTTGTTGTTGAGATTCTGGACCATGATACTAGCGAACTCGATATCCTGGAGGTCGAGTCAGTGAAGGCTCTGATGCGTGTTCAAGGTAACACCAACTTCTTCCTTCTCAAGGCAGTCCGCCAGAGTCCGGTATATGCGCTCTGGACTTAGGTTCATGCAGAGTTGTCTGATAATGAGGTTCCCGCGTACTTCGAGTAGATGCCTGTCGGTAGAGAATAGCTGGAGCAAGTTCACCATAAAAGACTTGAAGTAGCTATCTTCGCTGTTCCTCGATATCTGAGATAGCAGCTGCAGGTCCTTCGTCACCACCGCCTCAGCTGGATCCGATAGCGTCTTGAGAAGAGCGGGAAATGTCCCGTCATTGAAGGCAACCACTTTCTTCGGGGCCTTGCGATGAAGCATAATAAGCCATGAGAGGGCGGCAACTCTAGTTGCTTCGTTCTCGTTGAGAAACTGCAGAGTGAGAGAGTTGACCGCCGCAGCATAATCTAGATCCGCGGGCGGCACTGCTGCGGAGATAATACTGCTTCTTGGTGTTTGCTCGGTTGAAGGTTCGTGCAGTGACTGCTTTCTGGATACGCTCGGTGACGTGTCCGCCTTACTACTGGGTGTCGGGGCACGTCCCTCGGTGAAATCCCGGCTCGTAGTGGGTGTAGTCTTTGAGGATGCAGCTTGCCTCGTATCGTCGGATGTATCCTCAGACAATGAGACGATATACTCCAACAAAGAGGTGTTGACCCGGTTTGCGGCCTGTCGCACTTGGTCCGAACCACTGGACATCGCCGGAAGAACTTGGGTCAGGAGGCGTGGAACAAAGGGAAGAATGTCTTCCGGACTGATCTCGAAGAAACTGTCAATCCAGCGCAGTGCAGTCAACTGCATCTCCTCATCTGTAGCTGGTAAGCCCAAGTTCTTGGTGAAGACGCCGTGGAACAGCCTTACCAAAGGAGGTGTCCACGAAACCCACGAGGATATCTAGAATCCTTGGATAATCGATCTGAACATCCTGGCCCGGAATCCAATCATCGTCGGCTCGCAGGACCTCGCCCTCAGACACAGATCCTGCCTCTGAGTCTTCCACAGCATTTTCGTTGTCCTCTTCAGTTTCGGCACCCACCGTAGTGGTGCTGACAGCGTCGCTTCCGATCGACTGCTTATTATCGCTGCCCTGATCTTTTCGGCTGCCGTCGATCCCCTTCTTAAGCCGAGCAATTCGTTTAATCTCGGATAGAAACCTGTCAAGGAGACCTTGCGTGGCTACGTTGACATCACGATTCGGGTCGCCGAGGAATTTGATCAATCCGCCCAGAAATTCGGGAAGATATGTGACGAGTTCGAGATCAGGGATAGTGTCCAGTAGGGTCAGCCACGAAACCAGAAACATGCGGGTGTATGCACTGATGACGTGGATGCGCTCCTTCAGCAGCGGAATGAACGCCGAGAGGGAGAAAGCGGTGGGCAGCTCTGCATTATCCAACGCTTCAGGGTCGGACGCCTGCTTCTCCGAAAGCTGCAGGACAGAGATATACGAGGCCGCCGATTCCGAAACAATATCCTTCACAAGCCTGTCGAGGAGTTCCGCGCCGTTTTTAACTGATAGCTCCGAGTCTGACGCCAACTGACCACCATGTTAGCTGGAGAGACAGAAGGAAAAAGCCGGACATACTTTGCTCAGCGCATCAAATATCTCGTTGAAAAAGAGTAGAACCTCCCCCTTCGCAACTTTGGCGATGTTGTACATGCTTTCACATGCGTAGTATCGTACCCGAGCATCTTGATCGGAAAAGCACGCCAGGACCGGCGGCACGATTTCCTTGAGATACGGCGCAACCCCTTCCTATCCCATGTTCAGCCAACGCATCAACCGTCGCATCTCGACGGAACTCACAGATCCCAGAGCTATGGAAGCCGCAGCCAGACCGATCAAGCCCCCGTTCCTCGCATGGGGCTGGTGAACCGCGTAGGCATAGTCATGACAAAGCTGGTCGACTATTTTCTGGATTTCCTCGTGATCGCCCTTGTATGCAGCATCTCGGACAACTTTTTCCAGCCTAGGGTATCATCTGTATCAGTATTCGAGGTCTTCGTATTGCCAAAGGGGGAAGGGATGCATGCGTACTCCAAGGCCCCCTGCTTCCTCCGGTCATAGAGTTTATCGTTCAGCAGACGCTGAATTGAATGGTCCATCGCTCACGTCCGCATCGGTTGTTCCTGCGTTACGACCTCCGAAGCCGATTCAGATAAGCCGCATGGCGGGAAAAACAGCGACCGGGATGTTCGTTCTGTTCGCCGATAACACGCTGTCGTCTTTCGTTGCTCCGCGGAGCTATTTGCGAGACATGGAAGTCGAAAAGTCGCTTGTAGATTAGAGCAACGATGGAGAAGAGTACTCCGTAGGAAACAAGGAATGGCGCTCAGTCAGCAGCTTGACTCCTCATGTGGGGAGCTGTGGGCAGGATGCGTTGGCAGCTCGCAGTGACGTAGGGGGTTTAGTGCCAGCGCCCGGACCACCATTGTAGTGCCACAATTTGGAGACAGGCTATTAAGTAGTAGGTACATCTCATGAATTTATCCTATGTCGCGATACTCTGCCAACTATGGAATGTCCAGTAAAAGATTCAAGCAAAAGCCCAATAAATAGACAACGCCCAACCCGTTATCATACAAATCAATGACTGATGTATTGAAACACCGCAGACACATCTCTCTCTCCGGCCTCCTGTCGCATCAACAAGTCCTGGATTTTACCAAGTGGCCCCTTCTCGCCGTCATTCACAAAATGATTCCAAGAACTCGTATCACCATACAGCATTGCGGGAGCTTTAATGTATTGCGTCCCATCGGGTCGGCATCGCTTGCACTTGAAGGTGTCATGGGTATCGCTTCGAGTTTCCGGCTTGAACTGGAAGAGTTCACGAAGAGACTCTAAGGAGAAATGACGCTCCACGTCTTCGGCGGAATCCACGACACACGACGAAAGCGACTGTTTGTGAGACTGACGTTGAAAGATCTTCTCTTCAATTGAGCCTGTTGCGATGAAGCGATAGACAAAGCAGTCTTTCTTTTGCCCGTCACGCCATACTCGAGCCAATGCCTGTTGGTCGGCAGCTGGGTTCCAATCGGGATCAAACAGTACCAAACGATTTGCGCCGATCAAATTCAGACCACAACCACCAGCTTTACTACTGAGAAGAAAGACGAATTCTTCTCCGTCTGGGTCGTTGAATTTGTCGACCAGCTTCTGTCGTTTCTTCACATTCATTGTGCCATCGAGCCGCAAAGAGCCATATCCACGAGACCGGCAGAGTTTCTCAAAAAGGTCGAGCGTTTGGGTGTAGTTACTGATAAGGACGATTTTGTCGTTCGTGTCCTGGCGGATACGGGCGAGCATTCGGTCCAAGACCATCATCTTCCCTGAATACCACGATTTTATGTCCCTGTCCCGCCCTCTTCCTTCAGGGGGTACGTAGTCGTCTGGGAACGCGTGTTCGCACCCGGGAAGGTCATTGGAAAGATTGAGAAGGTCTGGATGATTGCACAGCTTTTTCAGGATACCGATGGCCTTGAGAGGTTGGCTCCCCTTGCCTCTCAGCAAGCTCTTGATCTCTGGACTTTGGATGAAGTGATTATAGAGGTCAAGCTGAAATGGTGATAGGTTGCAGAAAACGACATGCTCATACTTGACCGGCAAGTATTTCGACAATATGTCGTTGGTGCGTCGGATGATGAACTTGTTGACGATGCTGGACAGCTCAGCTAGACGCTCGTCGCCCTTCTTCCGGTCTTCTTCGGTTCCTGCAGCGTCTCTTCCTCTAAGAATAGGCAATTCAAACCTTTTTCGGAATTCGTTCTGTGTTCCGAGTAGGTCGGGGTTGGCAAAATTCAACAATGCAAAGTACTCGGTCAGGTCGTTCTGGATGGGAGTTCCCGACAGAATCACTCGTCGTTGAACATTCAAGCTGTTAAGAGCAGTCCATGTTAGGCTGTCTTTGTTCTTGAGACGGTGTCCTTCATCACAAAGTAGCAACCCAATCGGGCTGTCTTTCAAGGCGTCGACATATAAACGTAACGTTTCGTATGACACAATCAGAACAGGTCTCACAACAGACCGACCAGATGCAATAGCCCATTGCTTGATCTGAGTCGTAAGCTCTGTCTTCGTAGCTTTGCCGTCCACGGCAAAAGGGGTGATCGCATCCTTTCCAAGCCATTTACCTGGATGTGTTAGTGACCGTGTCGCCCGGATAAGCTTATTCCTTACCAAGTTCATTGGCCCAGTTTCCAACCAGACTAGAAGGACAGGCAATGATACACTTTTGGATAGTGGTTTTCCCAGCCTCGGGAGATTGTTTGAGAAGTGTCCACATCAAAGAGATGCATTGAAGCTAGGCATGTTAGTTCAGTCATGCCGTTTGAAGAGATGGACTTACCGTCTTTCCGAGCCCCATTCCATCCGCCATGATGCAGCCGTGTGCGTTCTTGTCGACCATACCAGTCGTGCAGCGATAGAGGAACTACGGCAGAACCCACGTCAGTCATTATTGAGGTCGCCAAGTTCGGAACGCAACCGTTACCTTTACACCTTCGACTTGATGAGGCCGGAGAACCTTGGCCAACCTGGGATCGATAACGACAGGAACTTTGGGGCGAGAGTCGACCTTTTTCTTCAGACCTAGAATATCCGCCAAACTCTTATGTACGATCGGCTCGTCCAATTTCGGTTTGTCATCTTCTGGTTTCTGCTCTTCTTCCTTTTTTTGTTCTTCCGCGTCATCAACATCGTCGACAGTCGGGTCGTACAGTACAATCGCAAACTCGCCGCTGGGATCATGCAGAGGTTTCACGACAAAAGTGGCGCCCTGCCTCATGCCCAGCGTCGGCGCTGGTCTCGAGGAGTTGTAAGCGTCTGATGACTTATTTATCAAGGGTATTTTGAATTGCTGTCTGAATGCTGTGTCTTTGTCTTTGGGTTTAAACACAGGGTATCGATTGACATCTCGGGTGGCCAGGGCAAGGCGTTCTTCGTTGGTGTACGGCTTTGCGTCGTCGTCGGCGGTTCCGTCGGCTCCGGCGTAATTGACTTTTCTTCGCTTTCTTGCCGGCTTATCTGACGCTCTCGTGGGTGTTGCTGATCCAGGGCACTTGAACGGCTTCGAAAGACGGTCGATAGGATTTGGGGATGCTTTTGACGGAGTCGCCCCGCCGTCTTCTCTAATGATTGGCCGCGGTCGATACCTTACCCATTAGCAAAAACTTCTAACAGGGGAAGGCAACATTGTACTCACATCTGGAACACGTCCCTCCAAGCAGGGACTATTGTACAGGCGATAGATGGCTTTGTGTGAACGACAACAACCTGAACGCTGTCATCGACAACGCGTGAGGCGGACGTGGCGCGTGCTGCCTGCGGATGCCTGAACACCAAAGCACCGCGCTCTCACGTGAAGATAGCGCGATAAGCCGAGCCAGCACTAACCCCACAGTCCAGCATTGAGTGATGTTAGATTCATTTACACCGTTTTGCTCTCGATTATGACCTGACTTTGGTATTCAGCTCCATGTCTGCAGATTTTTGGGCCGGTTACCTTAGTGGGGCCCTAGGAATCATCATCGGGAACCCACTGGATGTGGTCAAGGTTCGACTACAGGCGGGCTCTGCAGAAACAGCTGCAGTACCTGCGTCACAGCAATTGAGTCGCTTCGACAAAGTAAGCTCTCTCGTGCGAGGTATGGTGTACTCGTCCTAACCCAGCGGGGTATAATCAGAAACACCCGCTAAATTGATGTTCAGGCGCTGCGGCCCCAATCCTTGGATATGGCGCCCTCAATGCTCTTCTCTTTGTCGCCTACAATCGATCGTTGATGTTCTTGGATAGGTCAGTGACCGATCCCACTGACCCTAGAGGCACATCACTATCCAAGATATGGCTCGCCGGAGCTGTAGGTGGGGTGGCCAGCTGGACTGTGTCGTCCCCGACTGAATTCATCAAATGCCGCGCTCAGTTGGACACACGACCGGGCGTTTCGTCCTGGACCGTCGCCAAAGACATCTGCCAAAGCCGTGGATGGAGGGGTCTCTATTACGGAGGAGCGGTAACCTGTGCCAGGGACTCTATTGGCTATGGGTTTTAGTATGTAACGGGTTCCCCAGATCTTCCCGCCATTCACAGTGGAATTCTTGACTAATATATATACAATGGTGTAGCTTCTGGTCTTACGAGTATTGCAAACGTCTTGTGGGCTCGCCAGATGACGACGCGCACATGGTTGCGCTGAAGGTGCTGCTCTGTGGTGGCATTGCTGGTGTCGCTACTTGGGCATCCGTGTTCCCATTGGACATGATCAAAACGAGGTTGCAGGCGCAGACAATTGATTTCCACGCCGAGCAACAGCCCTTACTACGATCTCCAAGAAAGAAGACGCTCAACACCTTTGAGATCGCTCGAGAAGCCTATCGCACCGAAGGCGTTAAGGTCTTCCATCGCGGCCTAGGAGTCTGCAGTCTGAGGGCATTTATAGTGAACGCGGTCCAGGTAAGACTTTCCAGAAGATGTTGGGAGGCTAGTCATTGACTGCATAAACAGTGGGCGACATACGAATGGCTGATGAAGTATTTACAAACCCCCGAGTCGCAACCAGAAGCTTCACCGCAGGGTTTAATATCATAGACATAGAAAGGATCTGTCTTGAACGAAAGAAACGAAGCACTTGTATTGGGGCTTGTAATAATTTCGCTTGAACGGGATGGTAACCCGTGAAGTGGGACCTGAGTATACGAACTTCCGAGAAACGGCGATATAAAACGGGTCACCGCAAGACGGAACCAGCGGACTCGGCAATCGGCCACGTAGTTCTGCGGTTTTCGGCGCATGTGGATTCACGTGCTGCCTAGCAACCAAGTCGATTGCTGATTGGCTGAAAACTTTTGTTCGACCGCGACCAATCATTGCCTTTGGATGGCAACGACATGCGTCTGTTGAGAAAATTTGGAGGCTCGGGAGGTATGGAAGTGCGACCGACATTGTTGGAGCGAAGGGGGCGATTGTTTTTTAGTTGATCGTCCCGGTTGCTCGACGGTCGCGGACGCTCGTCCATCATGGACTCTCAATGATTAATCCTCCATGCGATCGACAGCCTCTTGCGACCGCGAGCCATTGTCGGTACCCAAGCCAACCGCAGCCTCAGCGGCCTTCTGGTTGTATGGCTCTTCTTGCAGGAGACGGATTCTGCAAAACGCCCTCAAGTCAGCTTTCTTCTGCTGGAATTGCGGTGTTCTGAGTATTAAGAAACACCGACCTTCTCTTGTGGTTTTTGCCCTTGCGATGGGCCACGAGGTTGTGTTCGCTCTCAAACCATTTTGCGCATTCGACACAGTAGTGTTTTCCTAGCCCGGGCAGATCCTCTGCATCCTTGGTGGCCTTGTATTGCGCGAGGTGTTTCGGCGACGCGAGATCAGCTTGGACTTGGTCGTAGCCTCTGGAATAGTAGCAATTAGAAGATTTTGTTTTGGTGATGGAGCGTGGGGGAGGCCATTAGGCAACAGGAGAGAACAAACCTGGTCATGCGCTTCGTCTTGACTCTTCGTACAGCACCCATGTTGGAATAATATCTCTGGCAGACCCCGAATCGTCGCACCCAGTCTGGTAAGGCTCGTGATAGGAGTGGTGGTCGCAAGGCACAGGAATATCACCGATAAACGGAAAGACAAGCGGGTCTGCTGCGTGGGAAATTTCCGCCTTTGTGGGCGAGAGGAAATGGCGCAAAGCTGATTGGCCAGCTGCACAGACCGTCTTGGCACCGGTCCGCGGGATGACTCTCGGTAGGCCTCGGCTCAGGTTCGGCTCAGTCTGCCAGGCCATTTTCCATGCCGGCCGTAATTTATGACGTTTCCATTGCTTCGGCACGACGACTCCGGGAAGGCATCGTCCACTGGGGTTTCAGGTGAAATAATCCTCTGAATGGGCCAGAGAAATGACCTCCGATGGGTGTCTAAAGGCTCTATAGTAGAAGCCGCGGATATTTGTCGGCCTTGATCCTCCCAATTAATTGTTCCACTCCAGACCACTGATAGTATATCGGAGTGTACACAGTTCCTATGAAAGTAAGTACCTCAAACTCGGAGAAAGGTGGAATGTATGATGTAAGTGAGGAGCCGAAAGTAGGTGTAATCCTTCATCTCTGATTGGAGGAGCCACGTTGTCTGCTCACATGCGACCTCCGTCGTTGCGGTATTCGTATGGTAATTACAGCCGTATTGACGATGCGGACATGGGGGTATGGGGTACGTGGGTAAATAATCAGTTCGTTATAGGGAGAGATCTAGGGCTACAAGAACCAGCCATGGGGAGAAATTTTCGAATTTCTCCAACATCCGTGAATACTATAACACTGCAGATTATCCCTTTCCTAGAAGAAATAACTCATAGATCAAGAAAGGGGCTGGAAAACACCCTCAAACACGGAGCCAGGAGCGGAAAGTGGGCAGGAGTTAGGTCCATCCATGTCTCCGGCTGAATGCGTCGGTATTGTCACGAGCGGTTACGGTTCTTCTTCGCCGGTTCAGAATACCCAAATTCTTTCCCACTTTGAAAAACAACCAAGCTTCCTTTTAATCGTCTCCATCTCTCCGTAAACCCTTTTCTCTTCTCTCTCCTCTCTCTCCCTCTCCACTCCATCCTTTTTTTTCGCTACTTCCAATCACTTGAAGTTAGCTTCTTGCTTGGATTAGCTCTCTCCTTGAATGTGTTGCGGCTGTGTCCACCTCGCATAGAGAGCTTCCATCATGATCTCCACCCGCCTTGCGCGCATGGGTGCGCTGGTAAGTCTTCTCTCCCAGATCGCGACCGTGGTGTCTTGCCAGAAACGAGATGCCAGCTGTCGCAAACTCGACCTAGAAATCGACCGAAAGCTAATCCCTTTCTCCGACAGGCCCCCAAGTCCCGTCTTGTAAGCTTTCCCCGCGACCGTCCGGTACTCCTTGCGAGACTCCGGGAGAAACGAGATCGGAACTTGAGGATTCTTTGTAGAAACATGGATACTAACTATCTCAATAGCTTCTCGGGACCCGGGGTCTGGCCACCGTTGCTGATTCCCCTCTGGACAAGAAGGTCGAGATGACCAACCACGAGAAGGTGAGTGGTTTCTACCCAGTTCGGCTATCTTCGGATGGCGGATGTCACCCAGTTTGGGAAGACACCATTGGCTAATTCTGCATACAGGGTAACTACATCAACTACAAGTATGCCAATTCCTTGCGCAAACCTGATGGGACCATTTGCACGATCATGGGAAAACCCGGATTGGATGGCCCGAGGGTCAAATCAAATCGGCCGTGCGCTAACATGTGCTCCACCTTTGTAGGAAGATGTCCGAGAACCTGGACATTGTCCGTCGCCGTCTGAGCCGCCCTCTCACCTACGCCGAGAAGGTTCTCTACTCTCACCTTGACGATCCTCATGGTCAGGACATCGAGCGTGGTGTTTCTTACCTGAAGCTCCGCCCCGACCGTGTCGCTTGCCAGGATGCTACTGCTCAGATGGCTATCCTGCAGTTCATGTCCGCTGGCATGCCTTCCGTCGCTACCCCCACCACCGTGCACTGCGACCACTTGATTGAGGCTCAGGTTGGTGGTGAGAAGGATCTTGCTCGTGCCAACGAGATCAACAAGGAGGTCTACGACTTCCTGGCCACCGCCACCGCCAAGTACAACATTGGTTTCTGGAAGCCCGGTTCCGGTATCATTCACCAGATCGTCCTGGAGAACTATGCGTTCCCTGGTGGTCTGATGATCGGTACTGACTCTCACACTCCTAACGCTGGTGGTCTCGCTATGGCTGCCATTGGTGTTGGTGGTGCTGATGCCGTCGATGTCATGGCTGGTCTCCCTTGGGAGTTGAAGGCCCCCAAGGTCATTGGTGTCAAGCTGACTGGTGAGATGTCCGGATGGACCACTCCTAAGGGTAAGTTGCAAAATTTGCGCGTCCGATCGGCTTTGCACTCGCTGACAGCTCCATAGATATCATCCTGAAGGTCGCTGGTCTCCTGACTGTCAAGGGTGGTACTGGTGCCATCATTGAGTACCACGGTCCTGGTGTCAACTCCCTGTCTTGCACTGGTATGGGTACCATCTGTAACATGGGTGCTGAAATCGGTGCTACCACCTCCATGTTCCCCTTCAACGACCGCATGTACGACTACCTGAAGGCCACCAAGCGTCAGCACATTGGTGAGTTCGCCCGCTCCTACGCCAAGGAGCTCCGCGAGGATGAGGGTGCCGAGTACGACCAGCTCATTGAGATCAACCTCTCTGAGCTTGAGCCCCACATCAACGGTCCCTTCACCCCCGACTTGGCCACCCCCATCTCCAAGTTCAAGGAGGCTGTTGATGCCAACGGTTGGGCCCGAGGAGCTCAAGGTCGGTCTGATCGGCTCTTGCACCAACTCCTCTTACGAGGATATGTCCCGTGCGGCCTCCATCGCCCGTGACGCCCTCAACCATGGCGTGAAGTCCAAGTCTCTCTTCACCGTCACCCCCGGTTCTGAGCAGATCCGCGCCACCATTGAGCGTGACGGTCAGCTCCAGACCCTCGAAGAGTTCGGTGGTGTCATCCTTGCCAACGCCTGCGGTCCTTGCATCGGTCAGTGGGATCGTAAGGACGTGAAGAAGGGTGAGCCCAACTCCATCATCTCTTCTTACAACCGTAACTTCACCGGTCGTAATGATGCCAACCCTGCCACCCACGCTTTCGTCGCCTCCCCTGACCTCGTCGTTGCCATGTGCGTTGCTGGCACCCTCAAGTTCAACCCTCTCACCGATACTGTGAAGGACAAGGATGGCAAGGAGTTCAAGCTTGCTCCTCCCTCTGGTGATGGTCTCCCCAGCAAGGGCTACGACGCCGGCCGCAACACCTACCAGGCTCCTCCCCAGGATCGTGCGTCCATCAACGTCGCTGTCTCCCCCACTAGCGACCGTCTCCAGCTCCTCGCTGGCTTTGAGGCCTGGGATGGCAAGGATGCCACCGGCATTCCCATCCTGATCAAGTGCCAGGGCAAGACCACCACTGACCATATCTCCATGGCTGGCCCATGGTTGAAGTACCGTGGCCACTTGGACAACATCTCCAACAACATGCTCATCGGTGCTGTTAACGCTGAGAACGGCGAGGCCAACAAGGTCAAGAACAAGTTCACCGGCGAATACGGTGCCGTCCCCGCTACCGCTCGTGACTACAAGGCCCGTGGTGTGAAGTGGGTTGTCATTGGTGACTGGAACTACGGTGAGGGCTCTTCTCGTGAGCACGCTGCTCTTGAGCCCCGTCACCTTGGTGGTCTGGCCATCATCACCCGTTCTTTCGCCCGTATCCACGAGACCAACCTGAAGAAGCAGGGTATGCTTCCTCTGACCTTCGCTGATCCCGCCGACTACGACAAGATCCAGCCCGAGGACACCGTCGACCTCCTCTGCACCGAGCTTGAGGTCGGCAAGCCCATGACCCTCCGTGTCCACCCCAAGAACGGCTCTACCTTCGACGTCAAGCTCAACCACACCTTCAACGAGTCCCAGATCGAGTGGTTCAAGGATGGATCCGCCCTTAACACCATGGCCCGCAAGGCTGCTAGCAACTAAATACCTCGCTCACGCACCGGTCGATCCTTGACTCATCCTTGATCAGGGATCGTTTGTAATATATGCATATGTTTCCTGATCAAACATACATCCAAGGTCGCGGCGATGTGCATGCACATCTGCCTGCGGTCTGGCAACTGTCGAGGTGGAGAGCAGCAATGGGGAAGAAGATGGCTGCTAATGTGGTATTTCTACGATGGGAAACGTGGAGTCGTGTTCGAAAAATTTAACGATTTGCTTTTGTTGTCTCTGCCTTTTATTGTACCCTTTGAGCTTGGGTGGACTCCATGGATATAGTCTTGTGTTTCTTTTTTTTCCTATATCAGCTACTGTATGTTAGGGACTGCATACCATTTTCCTTCTGTTCCAGTTGTTTTGGCTCTCCGTAGACTGCGATTGTCTTAACTGAACATACGTCTTTGATACGACCACCCTGGGGATGTTTGTTTGCAGTGAACGTATTACGAGCGAGCGCTGCCACCCGCTTTATTGACCGTGTTCCTTAACGAACATTACTACAACCATGCTAGGAGCAATGATACTTGGTAGAGTTAACATGGCTAATAGGGACGATACTAATATTGGAGATCTTATACCTATCTTGATGGGATGGACGGAGAGACTTATGTAGTGACAAGAAAAGCGACAACTGGCAGTGATAAGATAAGGATGGTGCAATGTTTCTGGAAATTGTGCTGTGCCGAGGTTTAGAGTGCCCCGCTCCAAGTTCCAGCCGTCCTCTGCAACGCATACGAAGGCAGCAGGGAGTGCTATGTAACCTGAAAGAATTACATGTCTGGCGAAGGAACGATCGCCTATTATATGCGATCCATCCCTCAGAAGGAAAATAACTGTGGCTCGGTCGACTCGTATGTATTGCGACTGCTGACTTCTGGCATGGAAAATGGCAACGATCTAAGTGAAATTGACTGCTGACGACAGTATAGATTGGCACTCAATATGGCTACCCAGCTTGTCCCTCTCCCTGAAGTGGAGAGGCTCAGCGCTTCAGTGGTGAGAATCCTAGGAGGCAACCCAGGAAAGGTGAGTTCTCTTCCGGGACTATGCGTAAAGAAAGCCACTTACGGAAATCTCGAAGTTCACCCTTCAAGGTATGCCATAAGTCATTTACGTTCCCAATCCACCCGCCCGCTGAATGATGTTTTTGCAGGCACAAACACATACCTCATTGGCCGAGGTCATCAACGGATCCTCCTCGACACAGGGGAAGGCAAACCGGCGTGGGCGGCAAATCTCAAAACCGTGTTGTCCGAGGAAAACGCCACAGTGCACCAGGCACTTCTGACGCACTGGCATGGCGACCATGTTCGGGGTCTGAATGATTTGTTGACGATCTGCCCCCAGGCGACGGTGTACAAGCACCAACCGGATGAAGGACAGAATGACATCCAAGATGGACAAGTGTTTAGCGTTGAGGGGGCAACGCTGAGAGCGTTCCATACACCGGGTCACACAGTAGACCATATGGCGTTTGTTCTGGAGGAAGAAGATGCGATTTTCACGGGTGATAGTGAGTTGGCTTTCGCCCACATTTCTTTTCATGCTTTTGATATTCTGATTTTCTCTTCTGCTACTGACATATATGATCCTAGACGTCCTGGGTCACGGAACCGCAGTCTTCGAAGACTTGCAGGTGTATCTCAATAGTCTTCAGCGCATGCAGAACCGCGTGTCTGGCCGCGGCTACCCAGGTCATGGGGCGGTGATTGAGAACGCGACTGCAAAGATTGGCGAATACATCCAGCACCGTCAGCAGCGGGAAAACGAGGTCATACGCGTGCTGCGGTATGGCAAACTGGATGTTGCCGAGGGGGAAACATCGCCAGAGCGGAAGGCGTGGTGGACCCCACTGGAACTGGTCAAGATTATCTATCGAAATGTGCCGGAGAACCTGCACCTACCTGCGTCTCATGGCGTCGTGCAAGTGTTGACGAAGCTGGAGGCTGAGGGCAAGGTCGTGCATGATGAGACGTCAGAGCGGATGGAAGTTGGAGACAGGGAAGTCTACTTTGTGAGGTCCATCATAGAAACACTGTCGGCAATGACATTTCGTGCACTTCTTTCCATTGTAGAGGGCTCATCATACTGCTATCTAGAAGTCAATACTAGTTCCCGCACACTGTAAGGCCCTTCCGGCACCCTGGATCAGTGCTGGCTATCATGTGTCACCGTCTGGACTTGGATCGATCAGACAGATAGCCGGT